CCCTAGGCAGCCACTAATTTACTTCATGTCTTTACAGATTTGCCTCTTCTGGGCATTTCAGGTAAATGGAATCATACAGTATGTGGTCTTTCATGATCGGCTTCTTTCATTTAGCAAAAAGGTTTTCAAAGCTTCCATGTTGTAACATGTATTAGTGCCTCATTTTCTTTATTGCTGAATAATAATTAATTGCATGCATATATCACATTTTCGTTGTCCATTCATAGCATGATGTTTAGGTTGTTTCCACTTCTGAGCAATTATGAATACTGTTCTTGTGAACATCAACATTCATGTGCAAGTTTTTGAGTGGACCTCTGTTTTTACTTCTCTTGAGTGGAATTGCTGGGTCATAAGTAAGGGTTTAACTTTCTGAGTTACTGCCAAATTATTTCCCTAGCACCCACATCATTTTACAAGCCCAGCAACGTAGGAGGGTTCCACTTTCTGCACATCCTCCCACTACTCGTTATCATCTGTCTTTTTGATTAGTCATCTTAGTGGGTTTGAAGGTGTTATCTCATTGTGGCTTTGATTTACATTTTTATAATGTCTAATGATGTCAAGCATCTTTTCATATGCTTATTGGCCAGCCATTTTTATATCTTCATCAGAGAAATATCTGTTCATCTTTGCCTATTTTAAAATTGGGTTATCTTTTTCAGTTTTTGTTTGTTTTCAAGGAACATTTTATAACGATGAGATAACATATACTTATCTAACATGGTACTTTTTTTTATCACTGAAGCTAAAGCAAACATTCTGTTTATTGGGTAAAAAGGCCTGATTAATGTGTGTACACTGCAGTGCAATATAAAAAATACTAATTAATTATAATTTCAGAACTTCAGAATTTAAGTGTCTGTGTTCTCTTTCTTTCATATGGGAAAAGAAAATGCTTTTTAAAATCACTTGAAGTGTGGACAAAAATTCCACAGCTATATTCTTAGGATCACTATGTAGGGCCTTCATGATTCAGATGACAACAAGGGAAGCCTCAATTCAACCTTTTAGAAAAGACATTCCAGTTTGCGTAATCTCACCAACCAGGAGAACATTGGTGGCAATCACAGTGCGGGAGTGAAGAAGCTGTCTCTTTGTACTGTAGTTATCCCATGTGCTTACTGTGGTTGCTACCATTGGCTCACCTGTGTTCAAGTCCACACCTATGGGTTGACCTGATTCTGAATGTTCTGCTTGAACTTTAGTGTTTCCTGAAGCTCAAAACCAGAATTCTGAGCAAGAGCCTTGGCCTGAGCAATGCATCAGCAAATGCCTGAACTCCCAAGATGGGCCTTGCCCTTTATCCTGGGCTACTATTTAATCGAGGCTTCTGCCACTGCCACTTCCACCACTCTAGCACCTAGAACTACACAGCCCTCATCACTAGCATTTTTAAAGCCATCAAGCCATCTCTTATTGTATCTTTGATTTGAGTGAGTGTGTGCTTATCTGATCCTTTAACCAACAGTGTGACAAAGTGAGGATTGTTACAGTTCTCTTCTCCCAATGTGTACTCATAGACAAGATCTACAAAAGAATTGAGAGCTACCCCTCCACAAGCAAGACTCAGCTTTTCCATATTTCTTTTAGCTCTACACAGAGCTACTATGCCTTCTTTTTTTGCAAATGCTTCCAAAGAAAAAAAGTCAATTCCCTTTTGATTAATAACAATGAATTCTTTATCTGAATCACAGATGCCTTTTTACTTCTATTATTTTTTAACTCTATCTTCAATGAATTTTCTTTCATCTTTCATGCTTCTCTCTTCTGCATGCTTATTAAAAAAAAAGCCAGAATTCATGTTTTGTTTTTCATATTATAATGACACACTGCATTTAAGCATGTATGCATTTTCGATTCTTTTTTTTTTTTCATATCAAGACACCATGCTCCATGGTCCAAAACAAGACCTCTAAGTCTGTATTAGTTTCAGATTTATGTTTCACCTCCATGCTCTATGATCTCAAACATGAAGAGGTCAGTAGGTTCATCTTGTTTTTTAAAGGCCAAAATGGAGTCCACTACAGCCTCTGTTAGGACAGCAGCACATTCAGCATGCACTTTAGTATGTGAAGATGTCCTGGCCAGATCTCTAAGTGTTTCCCTACTCATTTCTTTGCTTACTCTGACTTTTCCAAAACCTGAAGTGCCTTTTCCTTTGTAGCTTCATATCCTTCTGTTATTATTCTGGGATGAAGATTTTCAGAAATGTAGAAATTCGCCTGTTTTAGTAGCTCTCCAATGATTAGAACATTGGAACTGGTATCATCACCAGTTGATGTCACCATGTCATACTTTGGCTACTGAGGAGGCTGCTGGGTGTTGAATTTGCATTTCATGAAGCAGTACACTGGCATCTTTAATAAGCTTAATGTCTCCAGCACCAGAAATAAGCATCTTCATGGTACCCTTAGGCCCCAAGTTGGTCTGCAGCATGTCCTGCAGCCCCTGGGCCATGCTGATGTTGACTGCCAGGGCCACCTGGGCTTAGGCCACCTCAGCCATGGGGTTCTGGGTCTTCATGGTGCCACAGCTAATCAGTACGAAAGGAGGAAGAGACCCGGCATGGCATTGCCCAAGGCCAGCTCCTTATCTTTTTCAGTTTTTGAGTTCTTTATATAGTGTGGATACCAATCCCTTACCAGATATATGACTTTTAAATGTTCTTCCATCCTGTGGGCTGTCCTTTCACTTTCCTGACAGTATCATTTGAGGCATAAAAGTTTTAAATTCTGATGAAGTCCAATTCATCTACATTTTTCTTTTGTCATTTATGCTTTTGGTGTGGTATCTGAGAAGGCTTCCTAACCCAGGGTCATTAAGATTTATTTCTATGTTTTCTTTCAAGAGTTTTATATAGCTATACCTCTTACTTTAAGATCTCTGATCTACAAAGAATACATTTTTGTGGATAATGTAAGGAAGAGGTCTAGCTTCATTCATGTGGATATCATGTAGTTTCAGCACCATTTGTGGAATAGGCTATTCTTTTCCACATTGAATTGTCTTGGCACCATTGTCAAAAATCAGTTAATCATAAATGTAAGAGTTTATTTCTTGTCTCTTTATTCTATTCCAGTAACCTTTATAAAACTCCTTTTCTACTCAATTAGCTAGAGGATATCTCTCATTTACAATTATGACTACTGCCTGTTTACAATCAAATGTTTGAGAATTCTTGGATGTATGCTTAACCCATTTTCTTTAAGATTATGGATGTTGTTTCGATGTGTGACATCCAGTGATGGGGTGGGGGAAGGGAGAGGTAGTGCTGCTGAGGTGAGAGTTACCAAAAGTGTATCAACTGGGTATAACACAGTCATTCCCTTCCTAGGGAATGCAAACCTAACTGAAGTTTGCTATTTGGTAGAAGCACAGAAAGGGTCTCAAAAAGAAGTGCCTAGATTGTTCACCCTATTGCTTCAGGGATCTAATTTCAACATTCTGTTGGGAAGATTTCTCTTGTTTTTGAAGAGAATATTCTTCTGTACTTTCTTGGCCTTCTCACTTATTCACAGTGTATCATCTACCTGACTGACGAGCTCAGAAAAAATGTGTGATTCAGTCTTTCCTCACTTTGGTATGAGCATTGTCTACAAAAAGGATGCATTGTATTCTGCTTTCTTTATAAGACAGACCTGCAGTTTTGGGACCTAATGTGTTTGGTGGAAAGAGACATACAGCAAACCTATCTTCTTACGCCTAAGCTATGTGCCCCATGTGAACTTATATCAGAAAGGAAGCTGACATTTTTATCTTTGTTAGGCCAGTTTCTTTGTTTGCTCTAGTTGATCCCAAACTCTGGAAGGGTAGACTTGTTGATTAGGAATCCCCATGAACTGCTCCTACCTTAGCAATAGTTCTCTGAAATGGGTTTAGGGCTACAGATTTTTCAGGTTTTGCCTTTTCTTGTTTGCTCTCTGTGCTCTTTTAAGGATTTCTGACCCCACTGATGGTACTTCGTTTTCTTTTGTAGTACTGTTATGATTTTATTCTTCTTTTAATACATGTCATTTCATGAGGTTCTGATAGATGAAATAGATACATAGATAAGTCCCTCATATTTCACTCTCCAGTAGCTACTAACAAAGTGAGACTAGAATACTTAAGTCTACCAAGCTCTTTCCTCTATTCCATACCACTTTGTAAGATATAGTCCTGATACTGGAGACCTTAAAAATCTTGTTAGACTGGAGATACAAATTCTTAAATCAAGATATTAAAGCAGAACTAAATATATAGCAATATACTATAAGTAACTAATGCATGGAGAATAACTACCGAAGAATTGTAAGAAGTCACATCAGGTATTAAGAACAGATGACTGAAAAGGAGAAGCTTGAGATAGCCTAGAAAGGAAACATACAATTCTAAAGAGAAATAACAAGGCAAGTAAAAATATGGAGAGGGAAAACTGCACGAAAAATTCCACGACAGGGAGTATACTGAAGTTGGTTGACTATATATAAAAGAACACTGGGAGACAAAACTAAGAAAGAGATCAAGTAGAGGGATCTCTGGGTGGCTCATCAGTTGAGCGTTTTCCTTAGGCTCAGGTCGTGATCCTGGGGTCCTGGGATCGAATCCCATAGCGGGCTCACCGCAGGGAGCCTGCTTCTCCTTCTCCTGTGTCTTGCTTCTTTCTGTGTCTCTCATGAATAAATAAATTTTTAAAAAATCTTAAAAAAAAAAAAAAAAAAGAAAGAGATCAAGTAGAGACCCAAGTAAGCTCAAGAGCCATGTAAGACCATAAAAGCCTCTGTCACTTTCATTCAAAACACATTTGTACAAAAGGTATTAAATGAACTGTGGATAAGTTATTTCTGAAGTAAAAGGATCATAGATAATATTTTATTCCAAGGTACTAAAAGTGTCCCTCAATCATCTACTAACATATGTATATATCTATAAACAGTAAGTATGAGTAAGCAATCATCATATAAATAATTTAATTTTAAATTTCAGCAGGTATTCAATTAAATGTTTTTGATCTATACCTCTGATATGAAAAGAGCCATCATCATTTCTCTCCACCACAAGATGGTCAATATGAACAGTTATAGGAGCTGGTTCCAGGGATATTGTACTGCTACGAGGACTGTCATCCTACAGAAAAGAGAAATGGCATCAGAATATTGTTATTAAAGTAAATGATAAAGTTAATCATTTTCTTAACAACATTACTTCAGTGGATATTTTTAGTGAGTTGGAAACTTATCTTCAGAAGCTTCAGATGATACGGTGAAAAAAATGCCCATTCTACTTTTATATTTTCTAATTTCTAAGGATCTCTTCATCATTCCCCCACAAAGAACACAGATTCATTTCGATAACTGCTAAATGAGTGTATATCATAGAGGAGACACATTCTTAGACATGAATCAAAGTCCAGGTAGGCAAAGTGAACATTTATAACATGAAAATATAAAAATACTTATTAACATACTTTTAAATTAATTTTTGTGTTAGAAACTTGTATCTTCATTGGCATTACTGTTGCAACAGTTTCATCTTCCAAAAAATGCTGAATATTAGTAAGAGAAGATGTAAAAAACTCAGTGCTAAAGTTTTCTATATGGCATTGCAGAAATCCATTCTTTTCTGCAAGCAAAGAGTGTATTACAGCACCAGGCCCACTCTCGAATCTCAGGGTAATCTCAGGAGAGGATTTGGAATGAATTATAGATTTATGATCTGAACCTATGGAAAAAGAACACATAAAAATTAGAACTTGTAGCACTACTCAGAAGTGTCACTCCCAACTATTTGTCATTAAGACATTATTGCCACTTAGTACAATGTTAAAGCAATAATGTCTTAAGGTTTTAATATTTACCTTTCATTTAAATCACACTTACACATATACAATATGCCATACACAACCCAAACTTGAAAAAAATCATAGAATTTAAAATGCTTCTTAAGCTATTTCTCAGGAAGTAACAAAAGCCTTAAGTTTTGCATTTTCCTCATTAATACTGGGTCCTTAAATAATTAGAAAAGTAAATACACAAGACAGAAAAGGATAGAAAAGGTAAGGATGGGTAGTAAGATTAATAACTCTAAACACATTATTTACTTTTCTGTATCACAAGTGAACAAAAATGAACTTCGTAGCAGCAAAGAGATAAATATGATCAGTTTCACAATTCACAGAACCCAATGAGTTAAGAAAGAAACTGAATTTTCTGGAAAAGTGAAACTTTACTGAAGTCTTGAATTTATTAGTCTTGGTCTTCATAAGAAGACCCTACTAATTAAATTCGTGATGGAGAGATGTTTGTTTTTCCTCAGCATGGACGTGAATACTTTAGTCTTAAAAATGTCAAACGTATAAATACTTGTGAAGGGAAGGGGATGTAAGAAATAAAACATACTTATATTTATGCACCAAGGATAGATCTCCATACACAACTCAAAATAAAGAGTTGTTTTTACAACTTTATTTCAGGTACGATGTTAGTACTATAGATTAACATTCAATATAAATAAATAATATAGATATAAGAAGAGTCCACATAAAATTCTAAAGAATTCTTTGAACAATTAAGAACTCAGACTTTTTTTTTAAATAAAAGGTAAAATAGCCACAAATTGATGATGGTTAGTGCTCTTTTCTATATCAAGACAAACAACAATTAGTCTAATAATAAAAGTAATTAGAAACAACTTGATAAATGTGATTTTGTTTGGTCTTTTATCTATTTATCTACATATCTATACAGAGAGAGAGAGAGAGAGAGAGAGAGAGATACCTACTCACTCTAAGGAGCCGAGAGCCAGAAATAATTTCAAACAAAGAGAATTTGGAGTGGAGACCAAAGAAAATCTTCATTAGTCAAAACTAATTCCTCTCTTCTACCTTTCATGCTATGAAAATACTACATAAAAGTCTTCCTATTAAAGGACTCCAAATCCACACATTGTAGAAAAACAAAAACAAAAGCAAAAACAACTTTGCAATTTTGATTGGTCATGTCAAAGTAACAGCAGTTACAAACCACAGATCAACCTTTGAGATGTTCAAGCTAAACTATTTTTTCTCCCTTTCCTTTTATCCCATTTCCCCTTGCTCCTTTCTTTTCCTTTTGCTTTCTTCCTTCTTGATTTTTGTTTATTTTTAGACAACCAATAGAGACAGTTGAGAAAAAGAAGGCATTAGTACTGACTATACAACCCATACACATACTAGACATTTCAAAATGATTTCTTTAGTAAAGAGAGCAACATGAAAAAAAGTAATAGGACATGGTACTAAGTGACCCATAAAAATAAGTAAAAACAACTGAGCAACTGGAAGTAATCTTGAGAGTGTACAATTTGAAAAGTGTTTGGATTGGGAATAGAACAGGGTCTAGGTTTTGAAATTTCTTTTGTTCACTATGAAACCTTTAGCTTCCTCTATTTTGCATGCTATTGGGATTTATACTTCTAACAGAAAATTCCTGAAAATTTTTAACAGATACATTGTAAACTGCAAAGTTTATACATAGAAAAAAGCCAGGAGGGTTGCCGGGGTGGCTCAGCGGTTTAGTGCTGCCTTCGGCCCAATGTGTGTGTGATCCTGGAGACCTGGGATCGAGTCCTGCATCGGGCTCCCTGCATGGAGCCTACTTCTCCCTCTGCCTGTGTCTCTGCCTCTCTCTCTCTCTCTCTCTCTCTATGTCTCTCATGAATAAATAAATAAAATCTTTAACAACAAAAAAAAAAAGCCAGGAGACAATTTTTTCTACAATGTTGGTTTAAAAACAAATGGCATTTACCTGCAATTCCCAGGATGTGAGGTGATAGCATATTTATTTGATATCATGCAGGACTATGTATTTCAACATGTTATGTATCAGATTTAGCATTCTATATATATAGCAAAGAAAAATATTACAGCTCAGTGACTTTTTAAAGACTTTAAAAATGAACACTGTCATTTTAAAAGCTTAGAACTATTCTAATAAATTAATTTCTTCAAATGACTGAAAACCATGAGTGATAACTTCATATAAACTTTGAAAAAGAGATGGTTTTATATGGTTTCCTCTTCATACACTGCATGTTTTGTTGTTCATATCCCTCTACGTCCAAGTGAATGTGTTGATCTCAGAATGAAGGACCCTAAGAACATGATACGTGATTTTTCCAAATACCAAGTACCATGCCGGACTCAGGAAATGTTTGGTTTTAAGCAAGATAATGATACAAAAATTGACATTAATTCCAGCATAGAACTAAGTTTGACATTCTAGGATTACTTTGTTATTCTTTTCATATAGAAAAGAGCTCAGTTTTCTTAAACCTATTACATCAAAGAACAAGAAGACTAAAAAAAATGGCACTTAATAAAGAAAACAAAAGGGAATTAGAAACATGTTATATTTCTAACAATCAAAATACTTTATAAAAATAAGGTAACCTAAAAGAAATCTCTTACATTATTATAAACAAATATAATTTGTCCTTGAATCCATTATACCAAAGACAGAACTGCTAAGGAATCATATGTATAAAAACAAAACAAGGTTAAATCATATTTAAGTCTTACCTGTTGGACGATTACAAAGGTAATGCCGAAGACTGATATTGCCTAATTGATCTGGTGTCACTTGGTCCACTTGAAGACAGATTTCCATATCTTCCCCTCGGATGTCAATTTCCCCATTAACACCAGTAATTTTAAACACCACAACTGACATCTAATAATGATTGCATAATAAATATTAGCACACCAAGTAATTCAAAACACAATTTAAGAAGTGACAACAGGAAACTATTATAACTTCTAAAAACACAAATGTGACCTAATATAGCCAAAAATATACTCTGACCAATACAACGTGGTTATACGTTATAGTGACAAACTTTAGCTTTTCTTTAGCTTTCTTTCTATTCAGTCAAGAGAGAATTTTTTTAGGTCACAAAGATTATATGACATTTCTGTGTGAAATTATTTTCACTGAAGGCTGAACACATTTTCTAAGTCATCTATAGGAATACTTCACTGGGTGGAAAGGGCTTTAACCAGCAACATACTTCTTTTGTAGGAAGTTCCTCATAAGAACTGATTACTATTGACCATCAAACTCATTTTCAAAATGTATTTAAATGTCACTACAATAAAGGCCAAAAATAAAAGATGGAAAAGACAGAACCTCCCTTCCTCAGTGTGAGAAAAACAGATGTAAAGAAGTGAAATTCAGAGAAAAACAATTCACCAAGAGGGAAGGAAGAAGTTTCAAGAATAGAAAGAGTAAAGTGAGTCACTCATGACTATGGCAATTCACTTTATATATTGTCATAAAACGTGCATGTATTAAATATGAAATAAAAGTGGTAGCATTTATCTTCACAGAACGTCTCTGAAATGATTACCAAGTCTTGATTTTCTTGAGCACCCTCTGAATTTGTACTGATGGCATCTGGGGAGGTTTCACCAAAATTTGGTAGATTTGCACTGGCATTTGCACTCTCTCCAAGGCTCTGGTAATTTGTAGTAACATTCTTTTTAATACCTGAAGTAATAAAGAAATAAACTAACAAATTAAAATCAGTTTTAGACATGATCCAACAACATTACATTTATCTAACAAATATGGGATATCCCTCAACTCTTTCTCAAGCAAAGGCTTGTTTAAAAGACAATAGGCAAAGACAAATTAAATTGTTTTTTTTGACAAATTAAATTGTGATTAGCTAGCAAATAATAGGAAATAATGTCCACAATCTCTACAATCATAGAGATATGAAAGCGCTAAACTTAGGTTGAAAAGAAATGTGAAACATTGACCACAGGCCCATTGCTGGTGCAGTGCTGGAGTAACAGGTTTCTAGTTAGCCAGCTTTCACCTCCTGCTATGCTACCTCACTTGGAATATTCCCAGTTTAACCACTGCATTTCCCCTTTCAGTTATTTTATAGTAATGTCTAATTATCATCTACATGAGGTTAATGCCACTATTATCAGTGTGATCATCTTCTGTTCTTACCTACCTGTCATAATTTATCAGTATGGTGTGTTTCATTATTTCTCAAACTCTGTGGTCAAAGACAATCTTAAAAAAATTCTGTGTCTATCATAGACCAATACTTTAAACACAAAAAACAAGAGTCTTTTCCTAATGTAAATCAATTCCTCGGATATAAAAAAAAAATCATTATGGTTCAGGAGAACTAGGAATTTATAGTCATGTCGTTTAACTGTTACACAGGGGTGCCTGGGTGGCTCAGTCGGTTCAGCACTGGACTCTTAGTTTCAGCTCAGGCTGTGATCTCAGTCAGGGTGGTGGAATCAAACCCTGTGTCTGGCTCTGCACTCAGTGCAGAGTCTGCTCAGGATTCTCTCCCCCTGCCCTCCATAAATAAATAAATAAATAAATAAATAAATAAATAAATAAATAACTTTAAATAAATAAAGCTACGCACAGAATCAGTCCTCTTATATTTTCAAGATGCAAAAAACAGTCTACTACTAGAATCTATTCAAAGGCAGTAATTAGAAATGCAGACAAATTTATGAACAATGATATTAATTATAGCATTTTTATTTTTTTTAATTTTTAATTTTTTTTTTTTTTTAGTTATGATAGTCACAGAGAGAGAGAGAGAGAGGAGGCAGAGACGTAGGCAGAGGGAGAAGCAGGCTCCATGCACCGGGAGCCCGACGTGGGATTCGATCCCGGGTCTCCAGGATCACGCCCTGGGCCAAAGGCAGGCGCCAAACCGCTGCGCCACCCAGGGATCCCTAATTATAGCATTTTTATAACCATGGAAAATGATAAACAATCTAAACATCCAATATCAGGAAAATGATTAAAAGGTCATGGTACAGGGGCATCTGGGTGGCTCAGGTGGTTAGACAACCAACTCTTGATTTTAGTTGGGGTCATGATCTCAGGGTTGTGGAATCAAGCATACCTGGAGTCTCATCCTGGGCTCCATGCCAGGTGTGGAGCCTGCATGGGATTCTCTCTCTCCCTTTCCCTTTGCCCCTCCCCTCACTCATACACATGCTCTCTCTCTCTCAATCAATCAATCAATCAATCAGATCTTTTAAAAAGAAAAGTCATGGTACGTTTTCATGACAATTTAATACAGACTTTAAAAATATTTTCAAAGGAGTTTAAGTATTAGAAAATGATTAAAAGTGATAAAAAGCAGGTTAATCATATATATAGTATGATACCAAATATATATATATACAAATGATAAATGATGGTATCACTAATTATGGGACTTTGGGTTATTTTATTTTCCAAATTGTAGTTGTTGGTATATATTCTCCAAGTTTTCTATATTGAATGGTAGTCATTTTCATTATTTAATTTTTAGAAATAATAATAAGGAAATCACTAATGCTTTTTAAGAAAAATTAAGGGGATCCCTGCGTGGCGCAGCGGTTTGGCACCTGCCTTTGGCCCAGGGCGCGATCCTGGAGACCCGGGATCGAATCCCACATCGGGCTCCCAGTGCATGGAGCCTGCTTCTCCCTCTGCCTATGTCTCTGCCTCTCTCTCTCTCTCTCTCTCTGTGACTATCATTAAAAAAAAAAAAAATTAAAAAAAAGAACAATTAAGCATATTTTCTATAGGAACACTGTTTATGAAGTATGTTTTGATCATAAAGCAGAAATCTCTAAGGCAGGATCATAAGCCGTAAGGGGAGCTGCGGAACTAGGCAACAGAGTGCCTAGCAGTTCTCTGTGCCTAACTCTCTAGAACAGAGTTCTAGGACCCATTATCAGTCCCTCTCCCATACATGTGGTAATTGCTTCCCGAGTCTGAGAATCTAGTATAACATATTGATTGGGTAAACGCTTAGACTCCTGGGTCCATCTAGCTGAGTTCCTAACTGTACATTAATTTCTCTAAGCCTCAGTTTCTGAAGTTACAAGCATTTCCTTACTCTAAGCTGTTTTCAACATCATCAATAATATGCCTATTACCCTTCATTCACAAAGTAATTTGTATTCACTTCTGGTCTCTTCTACTTCAGTGTCTGGCAACTAATCTCTAGCTACGGCCCATGCTTTCATTCCTGTTTACAAAGTCCCTGATGTCTTAGTGATTGGGATGCATTTAATACTCTCAGTCATTCCTAGTGGTCTTACTAGGGCATTAGTTGCCTCTGAATAAATGCAGGTATTATGTAGGTTCATCATTCCTAACTCTGTACCAGAATCCTGGTTACAGAGATCAGCAGATTCAGTCTGGAAAAATTCCAGTCATAGACCACCATAAATGAGAATCCATCATGCAAATTAAGCCCATCTAACCAAAATTTTACATAAAGGAGTCTACATAACAAGAAGCTAATAGCATCCATGTGGTTTGCTTTATGCCCTAAATGACTATATACAAGTAATTGCTGGATGTGGCCATAAAGAAGAAGCATCTGGTGAAAAGAAGCAATAGAACAACCATTAGAAAGTTAGGTATGATGCTCTTTGTATTATTATATATGTATGTATGTAAATAAAATAAGTTTTTTCTGGGCTATACCTTATTACTGGGTAGAACTAACAATACTTAAATATCACTTCTAAGATTTATATATTTAATATGAATTCTTAAACTTCTATTGCTTTACCTTTTTCCAAAAATATATGAGTATCACTTCCATCACTTTCTAACAACTGTTCTTCCAATATCATACTGTCAAGTGAAATGGTATCCAATGAGGTTTGTGAGGAGCTTCTCTTCATGTTTTTATAAGAAACACAGAGTGGAGCCAGGTTGGGTGGGATGCGTTCCTTAGGCTTTCCACTGTTAACAAAATTATTAGAAAAACATCACATTTAAAAAAAAGAAAAAGAAAAACATCACATTATAAAATCTGTTTTTCTATGCGTTAACTCTAACAATGCCTCCTTATTTTGTATGAGGTTTTCTGTCCAAAAACAAAACACCCCCCCCATCACACACATACGCACAGAAAACCAAAACCCCTCCAAATTCCAATAGTATGCTGTTACCTTAAAGATGACTGTGATGTAAGTGTTCTAACTGTGGGTGCTTCTTCTTGATTGATTTCTAGGTTCTCAGAGAGTGAAGCTGTCTCTGGAAGCAAATCTTCACCTTTAAAGACTGACTCTATGGTTTCATGTCCTCTACTACTTAAACTATTTGAAAGTATGTTTTGATTACCATCATTATCAAAGGACAGCAAATGTGAATCTTCTCTGTGGTTTAAGACACTATCTGAATCTGTATAAGATGAATCCTTTTTGTCACTTGTTTCTGATCCAATTTCTCCCGATCCACTTTTGCAGACAATTCCACTACTTTCATCTTCACTTATTTTCCCTAAATTTTTATCTGATAAACAATCTGGAAAAGAAATACCTTTTTGCAGATTGGTATCACTAGCTGATTTAAAAAGCAAAGGATCCTTTGAAGGCACATGGCTAAGGTCAACACTCATAGATCTGTTGTCTGACATGTGGTTAATAGTTACACTTCTAATTTGATTTATGCCACTACTAACTTGTTTCCTTTTTGAAGACAAAATTTCTCCATTTTCTGTAGGCAAATAATCAGGAACTGTTGGGCTCACACTTTCAGCAACAGGAGACTTAAAAGTATTTCCTTGATCCACTGGATGTAGCAAAAGAGCCACTTCTGCACTTTCAAGTAAAATTCCAATGCAAATTGAGGTCTGACTAGCAGGAGTGCCAGTCACAGCTTCTACATCTTTCCTTAAATTCTCCAAAAGCAGAATAAGTGACTCATGGAGGAAAAGCAAGAGCAGATACTGGTAGTGATTGATCTGCATACTGACATGTTTATGAATGTGAACCAGGACATGAACATCTGCATCTGCTGATGAGGAGGAAAATCTTAGAAATGTATCTGAAGGCTTCTGACTACCATTTGTCAAGGGCTCAGATTCTGTACTATAATACTCTTTCAAGAGCTTCTTCCGCTTCAGTCGGCCCGTCAGATCACTAGATTCGCTTTGTGATGTATTTAGAGATCCTTGATTATAAGACTGCAGCTCTTTTTGTGACAATGCGTATCTTATGGGTTGGCAAATCCAGATGGAAAGAGGGAAAGAGTCTACAAAATTTATGGGACGCCCTTTTCCACTCTTTGTCCCTTCGTAATCTACCCAAAATTGAGAAAAGTACACAGCCCAGACATCTGTGGCAGCAGAAGTTTTAAGAGTGTGTTTATTCAACTTGGGAGTAATATTTCCTTTATAAACTTCATGCATTTTGGTATCTTGTTCATGAGCATGTCTCTGGAAGATTGGATGCAAAAGATTAAAATTGTCACCAGATTTGGGAAAGCTGGTATATGCTTTACTGAAAAAATCACAATCTTTAAAGTCTTGAAACAAAGCTTCTAGATCAGAATGTCGACAGTTTGGACAATGCCTTGTATTTGTGGCAATCATTTCAGAACTCTGAACAGAAACTGCATGTGGTTGATCTTGATGACATTCAGATTTCATTTCTGAAGGAATAACAAACTACAAGAGAAAAAACATTGATCTAACTTATAAATCCATACATCTTAAAGATAAAATAATCACAAACATAATTTAGCTCAGGAATTCTTTTTGGTGCTTCCCCCCAAAACACTACTTTCCTATCTTATCCAGACATAAAATACTATCTCCCCACAAGTACTTTCATTAAACCAAGTAAAAGGGACTTAACTGATTAACCACTAAGAAAAACACAACTTAAAAAAAATCCATAAATAATGAATAGTGAACATAGTATGTAAATTTGCATACAAAATATCACAAAACAAAACAAACAACAACGGAAAAGGAAACTAAATGAAATCAGTATTACGAAAAGCTTACTATGCCCTAAGTATACAAATGCTCAGTTTGGAAAAAGGAACTTTTTGTTAGGATATTTTAAACCCAAGAGACTTGGAAGATGACTGGATGGATAAATGGAATGACTGGATACATGTCATTACAATGACTTTTCTGGGATAAAATTATTAAGAAAATAAGAGTACAGGTCAAACTACTTCCTAAAATAATTTTTCAGAAATTACTAACCTCAGTCCTCAAAATATTCACATCAAAGAGTTCAAAGGGACTGGTTTTAAAACTTTGCATATTGAGAGTGTAAAGATCATTATATGATTGTCTTAAAGTAAAATTGTAAATGTTATAAAATGTGTCTTTCTGTTGAATATAAGATCTTTGAGAAGATCTTTACATTTCTGCAATGTATGTTTATTCATAACCTCATTTTACAGAGAAAAAATTACAGAAATTTAGAATACCAGCAACACACCTAGAAACTGAAACTTTTCATCCATGTCCAAGTCTTATTCTATTAACTACATTATAGTATCTGTTTTTTAAAAAATTTCCCTCCTGGGATCCTTGGGTGGTGCAGTGGTTTAGCACCTGCCTTTGGCCCAGGGCACGATCCTTGAGACCCGGGATCAAATCCCATGTCGGGCTCCCGGTGCATGGAGCCTGTTTCTCCCTCTGCCTATGTCTCTGCCTCTCTCTCTCTTTCTCTCTATCATAAATAAATAAAAATTAAAATAAATAAATAAATAAATAAATAAATAAATAAATAAATAAATAAATAAATAAATTCCCTCCTTTAAAGTTTAAATATTCATGGAACTCAGATTATCCTCTACTTGGCTGTAATACAAAGCAACTTTCTATTATCTTTGGATATCAATAATAGAATAACTGTGAACAAATAAAATCCAAATCTAATTTACTAGTTTCATTATATTAATTACTAGTTTTGAAAGAAAAATTTTATCCAGTCTGGTAAAAAGTAGGGAAAAAAAATGACTGATTTAAATTTTATTTCTGCTTACCTCCAAATGGATGAGCAGTGACAAAATAAAATAAAATAAAAAGAAAGTAAAGAAAGAAGGGGAAGATAGTAGTCTGTTAAAACTTTTTGAAATGAAAACCAAAAAAAAAGAAAACCAAAATTAAAACTGAAATTTCAAAATCAAAATTAAGATACAATTAAGCTGATTTATATATGAGCCTCCATCTTAAATCCTGGAAATTCTATTGCTATTGCTGCTAACTTCTCTAAAAATGGTTTTGTGGGGTGTCTGGGTAGCACAGTTAAACACCCAACTCAGTTTCAGCCCAGGTTATGACCTCAGGGTCATGAGATTAACTCCCATTTGGGCACCGCATCCAGTGCAGTCAGCTTGAGACTCTCTGTCTCTCGCTCTGCCCCTCCCCTCACTTCTCTCTCTAAAGTAAGTAAATAAATCTTAAGAAAGAAAAGAAAGAAAAGGAAAGGAAAGGAAGAGAAAGAAATAGAAAGAAAGAAAGAAAGAAAGAAAGAAAGAAAGAAAGAAAGAAAGAAAGAAAGAAGAAGAAAGAAAAAAGATGGTTTTGTTATTGCAGTCACTTGTTTACATGGTACCTTTAGCATTAAGCCATCAACTCGAATATCAACATGCTCATCAGATTTTGAATTGTCATTCAACTTGTATACAGCCATAAATTGATTAAGACTCTGTTTTAAATCCAACAGAAATTGATTTAACCATAGAATACTTCTTTCATCCACAGTAAACTGTAGTGCATTCAGTTGGCTATAAAGGTTGGCAGATGGAACTGTGGAGAAAAAAAATTTTTTAATATTTAATGAACAGATAGTCTAAATCTTCCATGAGAGAAAACATTTTTAACAGTTTTTATTCTTTTTAAATTAAGATAAGGTTTTGAAAATTATAAAATTAAAGTGACACATGTGGATGATAACAAACACATTTAAATAGACAAAACAAGATTTTTCTATGCTTCACTAACTGAAAATATATTAATCTAAAACTATCTGTGTAAGCAGAAAGTACTATTTAGATCTCTTTTCCTAATGGTATAGTCACCAAGAAGCAAACTTCAAAAACCTTACCTTCTTGATGATGTATTACACCAAGGTGTGGTCCTTAATCAGATATTTCATAAGGACTTTTACTATGTATATGTTAATCCAAATCCTCTAAAACAAGAGAACCAAGTAGTAAACAAGGCAGATCTCTTTGAGAGGAAGGGGCCAGGTACTTTTATTTTCCACTTAAACCAAATCCTAGAATAGTGCTTGGTACAAAGTAAAAAATCAAGTATCTAGTAAATAATAAAAGGAATATACTCTTTTTCATAGCTCCCTTCAAATATTAGAATACTCAGAGGTTAGATAATAGTTTATTGCTAATTTATATTAAACTAATATTCATATTTACAGTATATCACTTCCTGAAACCCTTTTGCTTCTACTATAAAAGCCATTTTTTTCAGACCATCTTAAAAATCTTTATTCCTAAACATTCAGACCTATTTACTTCTAGTATAACAAAGAGCATGCACATCTAGAACTTTTGAGAATAATTTAGGAAAATAAACCCAAAGTATAGGATATCAGGAAAAAGACAGCATTATTACAATGTCCTGAACAGCACTTTTTTTGCTTTCTTTCTTTCTTTCTTTCTTTCTTTCTTTCTTTCTTTCTTTCTTTCTTTCTTTTGTTCATTCATTCATTTTCTTTCAGCGAAGACTCACTGAATGCCAACTACGTTTTGTGTATGGTATTAAGCACAAAGTAATAAAAAGTCTGTAAGTTTTTACTCAAGACAGACACAAAGGTAGAAAAATTGTAATTCAAGTCCAATAGAGACATCTAATTAGGATGTGGAGGTGCTTGTATTTGAAAATAGAAAGGCAGCGGGATACTGAGAAGATCACATCACACTCTAGAGGGAAGGAAGGGGGACGCCTCTCATATAGACTACAGACTGAGTGATGATGAAAGCTAGAGAGAGGACTAGAGAGCTACAGTAAAGAAGGAAAGAAAAACTCAGCTCTGCAATCTGGGACAGACAAAGAAACCTGGTGCACTAAGTAGAAAAATCTACACAGTTTCTAAAAGAGGACACTCATGAAATAGATTATTATATAGTTATTAAAGATATTTATTTAAAATAAACCTGTAGTGGGGCGCCTGGGTGGCTCAGTTGGTTAAGCGTCTGCCTTTAGCTCAGGTCATAATCCCAGCATCTGGGGTGGAGCCCCCCACTGGCTCCCTGCTCAGTGGGCTCAGAGAGCCTGCTTCATCTGCCTCTCCCCCACTCGTGCTCACTCACTCTTTCTCTCTCTCTCTCTCTCTCTCAAATAAATAAAATCTTTTAAAAAATAAATAAATAAAAGAAACCTGTAGAAACCTGGAGTATGCTCATATCAAAGGGAAAGGATAAGATGTAAATAAAATATGTAATAGAAACACATATATTAAAAACAAGACTAGCAACATTATATTTATGGTTATGGTCTAAACTGTATCTCCTCAAAATTGATATGCTAAAGTTGTAACTCAGGGTACACCTCAGAATCTAACTGTATTTAGAGACAGAGCTTTTAGAAAGGCAATCAGTAAAAATGAGTTCATATGGGTGTGCCGCAGTCCAGTATGATTGGCATCGTTAGGAAACACACATGTGAAAAATAGCCATCTACAAGCCAAGAAGAGCTCTCTGAAGAAACGACCCTGCTGACACTTGATCTAGAGTCTCTAGAATTAGAAGGAAATAAATTTCTTTTTTTAAATCACCCAGCCTGTGGTACTTTGTTATGGAAGCCCTAGCAAATTCATACATTTATGTTCAGCAGAAGTCATCTCTAAATTGTAGGCTGTGGGCAATTTTTTATTTTTGGCATTTTCTTTTTAAAAAAATCATAAGATATATTACTTACAATTATTTATTTTTTTAAAAAATTTATTTATTTATTCATAAGAGACACAGAGAGAGACGCAGAGACACAGGCAAAGACACAGGCAGAGGGAGAAGTAGGCTCTGTGCAGGGAGCCTGACATGGATTCAATCCCAGGACTCCAGGATCATGCCCTGGGCCGAAGGCAGGCGCAAAACCGCCAAGCCACCCAGGGATCCCCATTTACAATTATTTAAAAAGTGATATATTTTTAAAGTTGGATTGCTTAACAAAGAGATGAAATATAAGGACTAAACATGGATCTTTGTATGTGGGGATTCAATGTACTCTCCTCTTTATTTCTGTGTATATTTGAAATTTTTGATAATGAACAGTTAAATTACACAGTTAAACATAACCTTGTAATTCCACTCCTAAGTATCTAGAAGGTTAGGGTTTAAATTGCTGATAAAGAATTTTATAGTTTTATTAAAAAATATATATGTACTATATAGAATGAGATTCCTTTGGCACATATTAACCAAACTGATTGAAATATATATATAAACCTAGATTAGAAGTCAGAAATCCTGTAAACTAGTCTTAACTCTGAAGAGGAATTACTAGTTCATTGATGTATTACTAAAGGAAAACAATTATTTGTGAGGGGAAAGGAGGGCTAGAAACAATGGGATTCTCCAATTAAATATAACAAATGGTTGCGAATGCCCTAGGAAGGCAGTGTAATAACATAGTTGGGGACTGAGGGGAAGACACAATGAATTTTGATTTAGATGACCCATGCTTGAGTTTCAGCTGTGCCATCTTACTAAGGTGCTGAGCAAATGTCTTAACTTCCTCACTGTTTTAGTCAGGAAGGTAGAAAAGAGAAACAAATGAGAAATAAACAAAAAACTGCTGACAAGCATGAAGGCAGTGAGAATGCAGTCCCAAAATTTTGGCACAACAATTAAATGGTTAAACAGCTAAAGAAAAAGGTACCACATAAATAAAGGCAAATTTTAGTTTGAAGAACTCCTGGATGAACTGAGGCAATAACATAGAAATTTAACAAAGGACACAAATGTATAATTATTTTAACTTTTTAGGGCCCCAAAATAGCATACAAATAAAAATTTATGTGATTCAATGTTTCTAAATAAACACAACAGCCAAAGGCTGTCCAAAGTATACATCTGTGCCTAAAAAAAAAAAGCCAAAAAATTTACAGCTAAAAGAATAACTCCATTATTAATTTTTCAAGGAAATATAGAGTTCTATATAACTGAAATGAAATTGGTTTTTACTAAAGGAAAAAAAAACGACCTTATTCTACAAATAACCTAACTTCCATAAATTCTTTCATTTAACAAACAGCTACTAAAAAATGAGTCAAATCTCAGGGATAATATATGAAGCATGCCTACCACATTAAGGATGCTATAAGCTGGGCTGTCTGGGTAGCTGAGTAGGTTAAGCATCTGCCTTTGGCTCAGGTCATGATCTCTGGGTCCTGGGTTCAAGCCCCATGTGGGGCTCCCTGCTCAAGAGGGAGTCTCTTCTCCGTCCCCCTCTGCCCCTCCCCACTGGTCATGTTTTCTCTCTAATAAGTTAATAAAATCTTTAAAAAGAATTTAAGGGACACCTGGGTGGCTTAGCGGTCGAGCATCTTCCTTTGGCTCAGGGCGTGATCCCAGGGTCCTGGGATCGAGTCCCACATTGGGCTCCCTCCATGGAGCCTGCTTCTCCCTCTACCTGTGTCTCTGCCTCTCTCTGTGTCTTTCATGAGTAAAAAAATTAAAAAAACAAAAAAAATTTTTAAAGGATGCTACAAGCTACTGAGAGAAAAAAAATATGAATAAACAGAATATGTTAAAAAATGCTATACTATAGTTATATACCAAGTACAATGACAGTAAGTAAAGAATAATGGATTTTTGTTTCTTTTCTCATGTTTATAAAACTCAAAAACTTAGGAGTAAAAAAACAACTTTCAAAGTAATGGACAAGTAATAACAAAACAGGAAACTCTCTTACTTGGAAAATCCTTTCCATCAGGATAGTAATATTCTGTGAATTCTATATAGACAGCTGACATTTCTTGTGGAAGATACAGGGATTTTTTATTGCAAGAAATCATACTCTTGGGGGAAGAACGACATTGTTCTGCTGTAGAGACCTGAAAATATAATTAAGCACATTGAAGTAACACTGAATAAAGCCCTTTCCAAACAATTTACGCCACATGAACATCACTTCAAACTCCTAAAACTACTTCAAATAATTAGTAATTTCCGATGAAAACTTTATTATATATTTAACTTCACATTCAATTATTTTTAATAATACTAATCAACTATTCAGAAAACGATAACCTCTTTAAAGTCTTATCAGTTACAAAATCCTTACAATAGTCCTTGCAAACTTATTACTTTGAGCCTTCAAATATCAGAATATTTCTGTAACAGAAGTGTAAAGAGCAGAGTCAGAACACACATCCAGGTCCTTAAGAACAGACTGCTTCTCTGGTGTGTACTTTATAGTAATTCTTTATCTTAACTTATTATTATGAAAAATAACATAGCTATATACAAAGTTTCAATCTGGGATAATAAATTACAGAGATGGATAATGGTGATGTGGTGATGACTGTACAACGATATGAATAATGAATGCCAATGAATGCAACACTTAAAAATAGTTAAAATGCTATCAAAACATTATGCTGTACACTTGAAACTAATATAATATGTCAATTATACTTCAATTTAGAAAATGGTTAAAATGGTAAATTTTATGTCATACATATTTTGCTGCAATAAAAAATTACTTATAAGTAATACAACTACAAATACTTCTGTCAAATAGTGTAATCTCTTTTTTTTAAAGATTTATTTACTTATTTATTTATTTATTTATTTATTTATTTATTTATTTATTTATTTATTGGGGGGGGGCAGAGACACAGGCAGAGGGAGAAGCAGGCTCCATGTAGGGAGCCTGACATGGGACTTGATCCCGGGTGTCCAGGACTACACCCTGGACTGAAGGCAGCACTAAACTGCTGAGCCACCCGGACTGCCCCTCTTATTTTTTTCTAAAAGAACTATGAGTTTGAAGGTTATTACATTTTTTTACCCTCCCCTCAAACAACAAATTTACTTCAAAAATGTATATAGTAATTTCCCCAAAGTTCATTAGTTTTATGAATTTCATTTATTTGTGCTTGTTTAGTATATACCCAGGGAAGTATCTCAAGGTTAATTAATTTTTTATTCATTCTATTTATTCAACAAACATATATATTTCTTATGTGAAGCAGAACAGTTTTTCAATAGTTTATGTTTCACCTTGGTTAAACTGCTAGTAAACCTATGGAATACTTGTACAGTCTCTATAAATTTAAGTCATTCTCTAGCATTATTATCAGATTATGAAGCTCTTCTCTGTATATATGGAAACAAATCCTTTGGAACTCAAAGTATCAACTTATTTTAATAGACCATAGCTTACTTCCTGTTTCCTTCAACAGGTAAAAAGTTATTCAAATTGAGATAAACATTCTATTTTCTTCCAGTTATTTTTATTTGTTCTATTTTGGTGTATTTGTGCATGTGGGATGTCTTTACAGTATTTTATTCTCAATTACTTTGAATTAGGGTGATTCCCCTCCCCTATTTCCATATGTATTTATTTATATTTTATAATTTAAAGTTAGCTTAAAATAAGATACAGTATATATGGAATGTAAAACAAGAACCAACTGTATAATAAGGAAAAAAAAACATATAATAGAGTTTTCTCAAAACTGGCACAGTTGAGATTTTGGACCAGATAATTTTTTGTTGTGGGCACTGATAAAGATGTCCAGTACATTGTTAAAATGTTTAGCAGCTTCACTGGTGTCAACCCACTATTTGCCAGTAGTAATCCCCTCCAGGTATGACAACCAAAACTATTTTCAGACAATGTCAAATGTTTCCAGGTGGTAAATCAGGCCCAGATAAAAACCACTGAGGAAAAAAAAATATATTTATGTATCAAAATAAACCACAATAATTCATAAATGAGAACACATAACTAAAACTGTTTATTTTTTAAGAATATTACATATTCATTCTATAGTGTTGGTCTCAAGGATTGCAATATTCCACTAGATTGTATGATTACAGCCTGAACAATATAAATGGGACAGAGATCTTAGCCATGAAGTTCAGTTCACAAAATAGGCAATATTTGGTAGTTCAATAAAACAAAAAGTATTTTAGTTTCTTCCACTAAGCATTGTATAATAAGGAATTTGGCCTTCTAAGAGAAGTCTGGCCTTTGTCCCTGCTAGAATTACCTGGAGGTAATTCTAAATTCAACTGATAGTTTATGCTTATGATGATAACTAAGAGTGGAGCTGGCCAGACTTGACAGTAGTCTTTAGAGGGTAGAGGCTTCGGGTCACCTGGTATCAATCTACGTAGAAACTGAGTTCATCTATGAAGGTACTACTTCATGTGTATTATTAAACATCCCTTCCAGGAAGCTAATGTGTCCTAAGAACATTTAGAACCCTCCCATCCCAATTCAAATTGGTTCTCTTTCTATGGCCAAATCTAGTTTGTATCCTTTCCCTGTAATAAATGTAATTCTTAGTACAAATCCATTTTGAAGGGCACCTGGGTAGCCCAGTGGTTGAGTGTCTGCCTTTGGCTCAGGTTGTGATCCCAGGGTCCTGGGATCGACTCAGGCATCAAGCTCCCCCCGGGGAGCCTGCTTCTCCCTCCACCTATGTCTTTGTCTCTCTGTGTCTCTCATAAATAAATAAAATCATTAAGAAAATTAAAAAAATAAAATAAAAAAATAAATGTGTTTCTTAGTATAATTTATTTTATGAGTTCTGTGAGTTATTCTAATGAATTCTTGAATCCACAGAGAGTTTAGGGGAGACTCCTGAACTTGCAGTTGCTGTCAGAAGTCTTGTACAGATTTGGCAGTCTGGAAGATGTGCTCTTTAGCTAAAGTATGCTAAATTAACAGTTTGGTTAATTCTGCATAACCATATAAACAAAAATTAATCAACTGACATTTTCTCTGCTGTCTAATTTAGCCATTTCACAAAACTGGTCAAGATGTTGTGGGGTTGTTTTTATTAAGTAGGTTCCACATCCAGCATGGAACCCAATGCAAGGCTTGAACTCATAACCCTGAGATTATGACCAGAGTTTGAGATCAAGAGTCAGATGCTTAACCAAGTAAGCCACCCAGGTGCCCCTGGTCAAGATGTTTTTAAATAAAATGATGATATTAGTTCATAACAGATGCTTGTAGAAGATGTTTATCAGAAGATATAATTAAAAAATAAAGCATACCTGGTATATATCGAAATCTGCAAGTCTAACCACAACAGAACTAGACATTAACTTAGCTTTGGATTGTTGAGATAATACTGAAGGTGTTCTGGAAGTCCCTTTCAGAGCTGAGTCTTTCTCTGTGGGAAATAAAAAAAAAAACTTTCAACTTATTGCAAAATGATTTTTGTAACAGTCACTTTCTAGAAATATATATGAACTCTAGTTTGTCAAATAAGATAATATATGTGAAGAAACTTTATGTATAAACTGATGTAGGAATGTAAGTTATTGCAACGATTCCTCTTTTTTGTGTGATTATTCCTTAAACATGAGTCATACTTACATCACATTTAAGATATTTTTGTACAATAACTTCTACCTGAAAGTCTTGTTTAAAAAAGCATTTAACAGTCTCAAATATTCTACCTGGGTATAATTCTTATTGGTCATATTAAGAAGTGCTTAGGTCCAAAAGCCTATGTTCTGAATAAGATGCAGAACTTTTACACATTAATTAAACATAATACTTATCCACAGAAAATATATTATGATCACATACACACACACACACACACAAATACACACACACACACACACACACAATTAATACCAGGGGAATGCCATAATGTTATTATAGGTAAAATACCTGTTTGTGTGTGCTGGGGAGAGGCATGTGTTGGGGATTTAGGAGGTGAACCTACATTATGATCCTTTACAGCCTGCTTAAGCATTTCAACATTGCACTCAAATTCATGTAACAATTCATTGGCCCATCCATTTTTTGTTTTGGTTGCATCACTAAAATACATCCAATGATTACAACTATCTCCTGTAAAATAAATGATAGGTATTTCACTGAAAAATGTACAATTTTCATTTATTTTATTATAGCACCTCTTCTGACGAGATTTATCCGTTTTCCAAGGGAATCTTTCTCAAGAAAGCAGACTTCACTTATAAGAGATTTTAATCTTCCTAGAAAATATTAACAAAACATTTAGAATACAAGAAGAGAGTGTCAAAGGAAAATTATTTAAGAGGTTTCATTCAAGACCCACCACTGGTACAACATCACTCAATGTTTCAATTACAAACAGTACTGCTGGTCAACCTTCACTGACTGCTCAACTACCTGTATTACTCCATTACAAAGAACCCCACAAAATACTACAACAGGTGAAAGTCCTTTCATCAAAGATTTGTTATAAAGTAATAAAATAAGATGAAGGTTATTAAAACACTAAGGAAACCATTAAAATTTCTCAAGATAGACATCAGTCATAAAAATATAGATATATCTATATCTCTATAGATTTTTAGAGGAAAAATTAAAAATCAAGATTATTAGGTTTCTCTGTAGCAAAACCTGAGAAAATATGAATGTATAAGAGTTAAGAAAATAAAATCTTTATGACTAAAAGTTTTACCTCCCAAAATATGAAATATTTCTGTAGTTAAAAATATTTTATGTATATGTAAGTAACTGCCAAATTAGGAGAATAGAATATACAACAAAGCCTTCCAACAAAAATCAAATAGTATAACCTTTACATTCTGTCAAGTACAGATACAGAATTAAAAGAGTAGGAGATCTCTACTTTTCATGAAAGTTGTGAACAGAAAAATTTTATCACTTTCTTAAAGTCTTTAAAAATTCATTATATGTTTTTTCTTATCTTTGTGAATTAAAAAAAAAAGCCACACATCATCAAAATGCAGAGACTGGCATAAGGTCAAATAACTTAATTTGGCCATAAACATATATACTTTTTGTTTTTATTATTTGGGAGAAAAAGCCTATCAATATTCAACTATTTTTTTAAAGATTTTATTTTTTTTTTTAATTTATTAATGAGAGATACAGAGAGAGAGGCAGAGAGAGAGAGGCAGAGAGAGAGAAGCAGGCTCCATGCAGGGATCCCGATGTGGGACTCGATCCCAGGACTCCAGGATCGTGTCCTGGGCCGAAGGCAGGTGCCAAACTGCTAAGCCACCCAGCTGTCCATATTCACTATTTAATAGGTTTCTTTTTTTTAATTTTTATTTATTTATGATAGTCACAGAGAGAGAGAGGCAGAGACACAGGCAGAGGGAGAAGCAGGCTCCATGCACCGGGAGCCCGATGTGGGATTCGATCCCGGGTCTCCAGGATCGCGCCCTGGGCCAAAGGCAGGCGCCAAACCGCTGCGCCACCCAGGGATCCCATATTCAACTATTTAAAAGCATATTAATGTATCACTTCTCAGGCTTTTGGCTACAATCAAATGTAAAAAATCTATTAATGCAACCTAAAAATACAGAAAAGTTAAAAAAAAAAAAGTTCCAGGAATCCTACAATGTAGCTAAATCACTGTCATCCTTTTATTTTATACTTTCTTGATTTTTTTAATATACTAATTTTTAAAATTTAAAACATATTAAAAATTTGCTTTTGTCACATTAACCAAATAAAATAGTACAAAATATGTCTTCCATATTCTGATTTTAAGTTTTAAGAAAAACAAAACCACTGGAAGGACATAATAAAGACTAAAGCAGAATTAAATGATATAGAAACTAAAAAACAATGGAACAGAGCAATAAAACAAGGACCTGGCTCTATGAAAAAAAAAAATTCAATAACATTGATAAACCTCTAGCCAGACTCCTCAAGAAAAAATGAAACAGTACTCAAAATCGCAAATGAGAGAGAAGAAATATAATCAAGACCACAGAAATACAATTATAAGAGAATATCATGAAACACTATATGCCAACAAATTAGACAACCTAGAAAAAAAGGATGAATTCCTAGAAACATTTAAACCACAAAAACTAAAACAGGAATGGAATATTTGAACAGACCAATAAGCAGCAAAGAAATTGAAACAGTAATCAACTCCCAACAAACAAAAGCCCAGGATCAGATGGTTTCACAGGCAAATTCTACCAAACATTTTAAGAAGAGTTAGTATGTACTGGTCTCCCAAACTATTCCAAAAAACAGAAAAGCAAAGAAAACTTCCAAATTCACTGAGACCAGCAGTACTTTCATACAAAAACCAGATAAAGATACCACTGAAAACAAGCACCACAGAATATCCCTGATGAACATAGATGCAAAAATCCTTAACAAAGGGATCCCTGGGTGGCACAGCGGTTTAGTGCCTGCCTTTGGCCCAGGGCACGATCCTGGAGACCCGGGATCGAATCCCACGTCGGGCTCCCTGCATGGAGCCTGCTTCTCCCTCTGCCTGTGTCTCTGCCTCTCTCTCTTTCTCTCTGTGTGACTATCATAAATAAATAAAATTTTAAAAAAAAGACTTATTAAAAAAAAAGTGTTTAAAAAAAATCCTCAACAAAATATTAGCAAACTGAATTCCACAACACATTAGAAAAATCATTCACCCAAACAAGTGGGGGATTCATTCCTGTGTTGCAAGGGTGTTTCAATATTTGCAAATCAATGTGATACATCACATCAATAAGAGAAAGGGTAGATCATTTCAATAGATGCAAAAAAAAGCATCTGACAAAGTACAACATGCATTCATTATAAAAGCTCTCATCACAGTGGGTATGGAGGGAACATACCTCAACATAATAAAAGCCATATATGAAAACCTCTCAGTGAACATCTTCTTTAATGAGGAAAAACTGAGAACTTTTCCCCTAAGGTCAGGAACAAAACAAGGATGTTCACTCTCATCACTTTTATTCAACATAGTACTGGAAGTCCTAGGCACAGCAAGCAGATAACAAAAAGAAATACAGAGCATCCAAATCAGCAAGGAAGATGTGAAATTTCCAGTATCCGCAGATGACATGATACTACATGTAGAAAACCTGAAAGACTCCAGCAAAAAACCTGCTACAACTTATAAATTAATTCAGTAAAGTCACATGATAAAAAAATAAATGTAGAGAAATCTGCTGCATTTCTATACACCAATAATGAAGCAGCAGAGAGATCAAAGAATCAATCCCATTTACAACTGCACCAAAAACCACGAAATACTTAGGAATAAACCTAAACCAAAGAGACAAAGGATATGTACTCTGAAAACTAATTGATGAAAGAAACTGAAGAAGACATAAAGAAATGGAAAGACATTTCATGCTCATAGACTGGGAGAATACGGTTAATATGTCCATACCACCCAAAGCAATCTACACATTTCATGCAATCCCTATCAAAATACCAACAGTATTTTTTTTTTCTAAAACTAGAAGAAACAATCCTAAAATCTGTTTAGAACCACAAAAGACCTCAAATAGCCAAAGCAATTTTGAAAAAGAAAAGCAAAACTGTAGTCATCACAACTCTGGATCTCAAGTCCTATTACAAAGCTGTAGTGATCAAAACAGTACGGTACTGGCACAAAAACAGATATACAGATCAATAGAACAGAATAGAGAACCCCCAGAAATAAACCCACAACTATATGGTCAATGAATCTTTGAAAAAGGAGGAATGACATCTGGGTGGCTCAGCGGTTGAGTGTCTGCCTTCGGCTCAGGGCATGATCCTGGAGTCCTAGGATCAAGTCCCACATCGGGCTCCCTGCATTGAGCCTGCTTCTCCCTCTGCCTATATCTCTGCTTCTCTGTCTCTCTCATGAATAAATACATTAAATCTCAAAAAAAAAAAAAAAGGAGGAATGAATATCCAATGGGAAAAGGACAGTCTCTTCAAACAAATGGTGCTGGGAAAACTGGGACAGAAACATCCAAGAAAATAAACTGGACCACTTTCTTACACCAAACACAAAAATAATTCAAAATGGATTAATGTCCTAAATGTAAGACCTGAAACCATAAAAATTCTAGAAGAAAAGGCAGTAACCTCTTTGACACCAGCCACAGCTACTTTTTTCTAGATATGTCTCCTGAGGCAAGGAAACAAAGGCAAAAATAAACTACTGGAACTACATAAGAATAAAAAATTTTGTACAGCAAAGAAAACCATCAACAAAACTAAAAGGCAACCTATAGAATAGGAGAAGATATTTGAAAATGGCATATCCAATAAAGGGTTAGTATCCAAAATATACAAAGAACCGATTCAACTCAACACCCCAAAACCAAATAATCCAATTAAAAATGGGCAGGAGACATGAGCAGACATTTCTCTAAAGATAACCAGATAGCCAACAGACACATGAAAAGATGCTGAACTTCACTCCTCATCTGGGAAATGTAAATCAAAACTACAATGAGATAGCATCACATACCTGTCAGAATGGTTAAAATCAACAACACAAGAAAAAATAGGTGGTGGTGGGATGTGAAGAAAAAAAAAACACTTGTACGCTGTTGATGGGAATGCAAACTAGTGCAGCCACTGTGAAAAACAGTATGGAGGAGCCTCAAAAAATTAAAACTAGAATTACTATATGATCCACTAATTCCACTACTGGGTATTTAGCCAAAGAAATACAAAAACACTAATTCAAAAGGATATATGCACCCCTAAGTTTATTACAGCATTATTTACAACAGCCAAGATATGGGAGCAGCCAAAGTGTCCATGGATAAAGATATGGTATATATATCTACAATGAAATATTATCAGCCATAAAGACAAATGAAATCTTGCCATTTGCAAGGATTATGAATGGAGTAGGGAGCATAATGCTAAGCAAAATAAGTCAATTAGAGAAAGACAAATACCATATGACTTTACTCATGTGGTACTCAAGAAACAAAGGAGCAAAGGGGGGGAAGGAGAGACAAATTATGAAACACATTCTTTAATTATAGAGAACAAACTGATAGGAGGGGGGTGGATGGTGGTTGGGTGAAACAGGTGATGGGAACTGAGGAATGTAGTTCTTGTGATAAGTACCGAGTGATGTATGGAATTGTTGAATCACTATACTGTACACGTGAAACTAATGTAACACTATATGTTACCTAACTGGAATTAAAATAATAAAAGATAAAAATAAACATACATTAAATTAAAACAAAATGATAAAATAAATTTAAAAAGAAATGAATTAAAACAAAATACAAAAGGAAATGCGATAAACTGTCTATATAACTTCATTTTTAAATTTTTTTTCTATATAACTAAAGCAAGATTTACATCTATTAAAGAAACTGGTATACATACCTGCTTTGTGATAAGGATAATAATCTATAGTTAGCTGTGTAAAAGACAGTTGCATAGCCCCTCCAGTAATACGTCTATTCGACTCTAGAAAAAGAAAAAAATAGAATTGAGAGAAAGAAACATTAAGGAAGTATCAGAAATACTTCATTTATCATACCTGCAGTAAACTGAGACACAAAGAAGTTAATTAAATAGACCAAGGTCATACCAGCTAAGAAATACAGAGCTGTTCTGAAAACAGGAAATATTAACCACTATACTATATCATCCTGTCTCTTATTAAAGAGGATTTTTAGCCTATTGGGTTAGGTAAGTTGTCTGAAGTCACACAGCTATATTAAGATTAGAAGCAGATCACAACTCTGTGTGACTCCAACATAAAAATCAAATTTTAAAGCAGCATGGATAAATCAACTATAAGTAAGGAAAATACAAATTAAGATACAACTAGATACAAATGAATATAATTCATTTCAGACCTTTCTGGATTTTAGAACAGATCTGTAGGATGAGGGAAAAATTTTGGTGGAGGAGTTTTCCCCCTTAAATAACATAATTCAGATTATTCTATGAGGGAATATGAAGAGTGAGAAATATAAAAAAGCTTAGAAGACACTTTTCTCTATTCTTTTGCTTATTACTTAACTTTGACCCCTCATTTTTAAATTTTTTATTATTTTAACTTTTCCATTTTTCCTTTCAAGTAACTAAAGCAGAAGATCCTAACTTTAAACCAGAAAGCACAAAGGTGGACAAAAGAAGACAACAAATCCTTCTCAAAACTCCAAATCTTCCTCACCTTTCCATTCCACCCTTTTATCTAGTCACCGATATCTGGCTGCTTTTTCTGATGAAGGCAGGGTAACTTCTGCTAAATATCCAGGTAGGTTTCACTATTTTCTCTTTCAGCTTTAAAAATACAATGCAACAATTTTCACAGATTCAGACTCTGAATCAGGTCTGAAGTAGATCAATCCAATACAGATATTCCTGTTTTAAAGAGATCCTCAGGGACACCTGGGTGGCTCAGAGGTTGGGTGCCTGCCTTTGGCTCAGGTCCTGATGCTGGGATCTGGGATCGAGTCCCACATCAGGCTCTCTGTGAGGAGCCTGCTTCTTCCTCTGCCTATGTCTCTGCCTCTCTCTCTTTCTGTGTCTCTCATGAATAAATAAATAAATCTTTAAAAAGAGAGAGAGAGAGAGAGAGATCCTCAAGCTCAGCAAAGTCGGAGAACTACTTACCGTCCTAGAAGTACCACTAAACCAACCCTCCCAACACTCACAGGCCAGGAACACTCTCCAGTGGAGAAACAGAAATGTCCAGTACCTACATTATGGAACCACAGATTTTCAATGTGACCAAGAGCTTCCCATTTACTTCATTACCTGTACCTACTATATAAGGAAAAGTAAGAGAAGCTAAAAGTAAAGAAAAAAACCTTACTACCTGGAATTTAGCTTCCTAACCAAATTTTGGGAGGATTACTGGTAAAGAGCCACAAGAAATGGTTAAATAGCCATACATCTGTGTTTACATGCACATGGGGTCAGAAATATGCAGACAGACGACCATGGGACATGTGTGCAAATAATTATGAATTGAGTATGTACTAAAATTTAATTTACAGACAATTTCAAAATGATAAAAAGTCTAATTCAAAGGCAAGTCTAATATTTCATCATCCTCTAAGGATGTCATCTATTTAGTCCTTGATTTTTTTTAAACCTAATTTTATTGGTAGTATCAATAGCTACCAATTAATTGTGCTGAAATTCTAAGTATTAAAGCAAAATAAAATTTCATATCAACATATATTGCTTAAAATTACAATTTTCATCTATGTACTTCATATGAATGATAAAATTATGGCCAGTTATACCAGACATACTATATCTTACATATGATACATAATCTAGTTTTGTAGGAAATCCTAGAAAAACCAAAATATAGTGTGAAATAAGCAGCTCTTATTACCTTTTTCTCTAGCATGAATATCATCACATATGTGTAGATCTAGATGAGAAATCACTAAGTGATGAGAGGTTTCTTTAACATCAAAGTCATTGAATAGTTTCACAATTGCATCATTTAGATCAGGAGCATTTGAGGTCTGTGGTGTCTTCACTTGTTGGGTAGATGGGGCTACTGTAGAGCTCTAAAAGATTCAAAACTGCCTTATCACTTCAAGTTAAATATTTGAAATTCCACAAATGAGAAAACTTAAATATCTTTAGTAATGAAGTCATGAAAAATAAGCTAATATATTTTCTATCAATAACTTGATTCTTCTAAAATATTTTCTGAATTATATGAGAATAAAGTTAAATCTAAAAACTGGAGGCTATACACAATTTGAAAATGAAACCAATGTATTTTAATAAATATTTGAATAGTTATATTTGTAGTCTTTTTTGGGGAAATATATTTATTAATTTATAAATATATAACATAAATAAATAAATATAGTTATTAAAGGCAGCTTATTCAAATAGTATTACTTCTACATATTAGAAGAGAAAGAGGTGGCCTGGGTGGCTCAGTCAGTGGAGGAGTTTTCCCCTTAAATAACATAATTTAGCTTATTCTATGAGGGAATATAAAGAGTGAGAAATGTAAAAAAGCTTAGAAAACACTTTTCTCTATTCTTTTGCTTATTGTTTAACCTTGACTCCTCATTTTGTTATTTCAGTTTGTTTTAACATTTCCATTTCTTGGTTCCAGCTCAGGCGGTGAAACAGGAGCCCTGCATCAGGTGTAGACTCAGAGGGCAGTCCATTTGAAGATTCTCTCACTCTACCCCTTCCCCACCCCAAACAAGCAACCCCCCCAAATAAATAAATAAATCTTTTTCCAGAAAAAGAGAAATAAATGTGAGCCCTGTATATATGAGCTGTATACACTATTATATGCCCATGTAAAATATAAATCATTTCTTTCTACATTGCTTGTGATACTGTTTAGTAAGTGATCTGATGCCTCTCCTAAGGGATGTGGCATGTCCTCTGAACGTGGATATCTGAAGAAGCCAGAAAGCAGAAGAGATTTATAATAGACATTGAATTCAAATTTTTTCCCCCGAAGGAAGAAGCATGAAATACTGATGAAGTGTAAAGACCTATATGAATCTAATAACCTAAAATGTGTAAGCATACTATATGTGTAAGCATACTATAAGGACACGTTATGTAAGCTACAGAACTGTACATGAAACTTTAGTAATAATTAACAAAATTAAGACAAAATTTTTCACTAAAAAATATTTAAAAGTTTCTAATTAAGAACAACCCAATAATAAAAGAACAGTTAGTGATATATGGAAAATTAAAGTGTATACATTTTGTATAAATACATATTTACATATCATCTATTAAGAACTATCTATAAAAAAAAGAACTATCTGCAAACAAATTTTAAAGTATACTCAGTAAAGGAGAATTTCTCAAAGAAAATGATCAAGACCCACAGTAATTAAAGAAAAGGAAAGATGAAATACAACTGTGAAGCCTTAAATTCTAGGGGCTCGAGATAAATTTTTTTGTTTTTTTTACTAATTGTAAAATTAATTTCCGTAAGACAAATCACTTATTTTTATTTTTACTTACTTTATTTTTTACTTTTTTTTTAAGTAGGCTCCAGGTCCCGTATGGAGCCCAACAATGATTTCACAATACCCCTTGTTTTTATTAAGAACAAATACAATGCTAACGGTTTAAGTGTTGAACTTTAGCAGTTCCCCAGGGTTTTACATTTTCTGCAATATTAATTTTCACACTTCTCCCTTGACTATACCCAGGTTCTTTCCTTTTGCCCTTACCTTAGTAAGTTTAAGTTGTATTTTACTTCTTGAAAAAAGATATTTATAATATCAAATACTTTTATGTCATCATTAACTCTAGTGCCTAGTACAGAACTTCAAACAAAATAGGCATATGACAGAAACACATTTCATATATATACTATGTGTAGAAAATTATCCAGTGAGATATCTACATAAAAGATTCTTGGACTCAGTCTTATGATCTAATTCACACAAAGAAACCACTAACCATTCTGATTTTTAGACCATTTACATATTCTGTGTTTTTCCTCTTAAGAACATACCTGTGTAGGTTCAGGAGCCATACTTTTCCTTTGTTCTGTTGATTTTTCTATCGCTTCACTAAGAGACTTTGCATATTGTACCATAGCCTTCAATTGGGAATCCGTTAAAACCCACAGTAAGTCATCCAATATTAGAATTAATTTTGTTGCAATAACATTGCAGTCCTTTAACTGTCAGAAAAAAGGATTCATAAAATTAAGCCAAGACATAAAACTTACAATGCACTGTTTTAAAAATATTTAAAATGTTTGAATGATATTAAATATATATCCTTCCTTCATTCACCAAGTATTTACTGTGTTCCTATACTATAGAATGAGTATGTCTTTGTATTGAAGATATGGTGGTAAAACAGACTGACAAATTCCTGTACTTTAACAGATGCATGTTATACAGATACAAGTACTTATATAATTTAATTTTGCATTTATAGCTAATAAATCGTAAAATTACCCATATTAATTGTGCTAATTCTAGTACAGAAAGAAGTATTAAGATTAAAAACTGAAGTGTTATTTTAACCACATTTCACAACACTAAGCTTATACTCTGAAAAAAATTTTTTCAATTTAATTTAGTATATTTATTTGTGTCTAGTGATATAAAACATAATGATGAGACTTTAAGTGCACCGTGTTTTAAAAACCCATTATTCTTTCATTAAACTTCATTACAGTCTATAGTGAACTCTGAATTTGATATCCTTAAGCAACTATATTCCCTATTTATTTAAATCACCATTCATACCTTAATAACCTTCTAAAGGTAGTAGTTCAGTCTACTAATAACGGAGGCTTTGCTGTTTACCCATTCTTAAGTAAGATTCAATAGAAGAAATGAAATCTATAAGACAGGAAATATTCAAAGATATTTGACAATGGAGAATCCATTAAATTTATCAAAAGTAAAAATCTATTAAACCTAGAAAACTGAAAAATGTTATCATAACACTAGATTTCTTCAAATACTGCTTGAGGCATTATATTTCCTTTTATTTTGCTTCATTTTAATATTTCAGTGTTTCATCTGGAAAATTATTTAAAATTTCCTCTCAATTCCACTAGTTATCTATCACATGAACCAAAAAGGTAACCCTGTTGACTTACTCTTCTTTTAAGTGTGACTCTGATCTTTGATTGGTTGGTTATTAATCGAACAGGAGCACACATAATTTCAAGATGTGAACTTTGAGTAGCATCGGCCTCTATTCGAATCATCTGCCAATTTATTTCTTTAAATGTCAAAACCTAAGGAGAATAGGTATTAGCTTCAGTTACTCAGTCAAAATAGAGTAAGAAATATGTAGATTCATAAAAACAACAAAAAAGCTAAATAAAATTTTATCTTTTTACTAATATTTTTTAAAGATTTTATTTATTTATTCAAGAGAGACACAGAGAGAGAGGCAGAGACATAGGCAGAGGGAGAAGCAGGCTCCCTGTGGGGAGCCCAACATGGAACTCGATCCTAGGACCCCGGGATTATACCCTGAGCTGAAGGTAGATGCTCAACCACAAGCCACCCAGGCATCGTCTTTACCAATTTTCTTATGACACTCTAGATATATTCACTATGATTTTATTTTTTAAAACTGTATAGTTACTAAAAATTCAGTAACATTTTTTCATAATTACATTCACTATTTGTAAAGTTGTTAGTACTTTATTTTAATTGTGATATAAAGTACAAATAACATTTGAATCATATGAGCAAGAAAAACTTAAATAACATTTTTTTTGTATATTTAAAATTCAATTCTGAGTAGCCGAGAATTTAAAATGGGGTTCATTAACTCTATAAATTAAAAGGTTTATTACAGTAAAAACACCAAAATATGCATTTTAACTAAATAAGAGAAATAGAGAAAAAGTATAGTTAAAACACAAGAGTAAATGTGGTATGTGAATATATGTAACTATAAGAAGTAATTATTTTAAAATGTCCTCTTATATTTAGTGACTAAAACATTTTTTAAACAAAGAATGAAAAGAAACGTTTACCTCTCCTCTCTGTGGATCTTGAATACGAGTAAATCTTAAATCTCCATGTTCCCAGTTTGCATTTACACTATAGATCCTTAGCTGGGAAAGTTCAAAGGATGCATTGAAAGCTTTTGCTCCAATGCGGATAACAATGGAATTTACAGAAACAGTAATTCCCTCAACTACTTTTTCAGCAAAGCCATATTCACTGGAAAAATAAATCAAAACAAAACATAATGCACTAGAGCCAAAATAAATTATTAAAAAGGTTATTTGTTAATATTCTCAAAAACAAGTACACAAACTGACCATTATTCATTTTATGTAAAAAAATTTTGGTTATAACAATAGTCTGATTATATGTAAATTATAAAAATGTTCTCAAAATGATAAAAGATTTCTAAAATTTAAGGCTACTTTTTATTTGATAAGTTTTTAACTTTATTTCCAGAATAGTTAATATACAGAAATACATGAATTTTAGGTGTACAATAGTGATCTCATAATTCTATAAACTACTCAGTTCTCATCATAAGTATACTCTTTAATCTCCATCATCTATTTGGCCCACCTCTCCCCTTTGGGAACTATTAGTTTGTTCTCTATACTTTGGAATCTGTTTCTTCATTTCTCTTTTTTTCCCTTTGCTTATTTGTTTGTTTCTTAAATTCCAAAATCATATGGTATTTGTCTTTCTCTAGTCAACTTCTCTTGCTTAGCATTATATGCTCTAGGTCCATGTTGTTGCAAATGCCATGATTTCATTGTTTTTTATGGTTGAATAATATTGTATTGTAGATATACACCACTTTTTCTTTATGCATTCATCAATCAATGGACACTTGGGCTGCTCCCATATGTTGGCTATTATAAATAATGCTGCGATAAGCATACGGGTGCATGTATCCTTTCTAACTAGTGTTGTTGTATTCTTTGGGTAAATACCCAGTAGTGCAATTACTGGATTGTGGGGGTACTTCTATTTCTAAATTTTTGAGGAACCTTCATAATGTTTTCCACAGTGGCTGCACCAGTGTGCATTCCCACCAATGATATACGAGTGTTCCTTTTTCCCTACATCCTTGCTAATATTTGTTCCTTGTGGTTTTGATTGTAACCTTTTGTTACAAATGTAACCATTTTGATAGGCCCTTTTTTTTTTTTTTTTTTTTTTTAGAGAGAGAGAGATAAAGACAGAGAATGCCTGTGTGAGCAGGAGAGGGGCAGAAGGAGAGAAGGAGAGAGAAACTGAAGCAGGCTCCACATCCAACAAGGAGCCCAATGCGGGCTTGATCTCATGACTTCTAGATCATGACCTGAACAGAAATAAAGAGTTGGACACTTAACCAACTGAGAGACCCAGGCCCCCTGAAACGTTACTCTTTAAATTAGGTTATTATAATCACTATCCAAAACTGCCTACTCTTCAAGTTGTCAGATGTTCAAACAACTAGAATCTATAAAGTAAAAATAAGAGAGCTAAATTCCTGACACAAAGAAGGCTACAAACTATAACTACAAAATAAGCTCAAATTTAGGAATAAAGTCAGAAAAGTTCACATTCTCTAATCCAATCAGCAAATGTTTACTGAACATCTACCATGTGCACAATGCTGGGACATAAGAAAAACCAAAACTCGGTTGTGGTATTCTAAGGGCTCACAACTTACTTAGAGAAGAAAAACACATGTGCCCTAGAAACTGAATCATTAGGCATTGTGTAATTGAGTGCTTTAAAAAAGGAATCAACATGGGCAGCCCAGGTGGCTCAGCATTTTAGTGCTGCCTTCAGCCCAGGGACATGATCCTGGAGACCCAGGATCGAGTCCCATGTCAGGCTTCCGGCATGGAGCCTGCTTCTCTCTCTGTTTCTCGAATAAATAAATAAAATTTTAAAAAAAGGGGGGGATCATCATTACTACACTTGGTAGAGGAAGAAACTGTTCATTACTAGAGAAATTTATCTAGGAAAGAAAAATATATTTCCCACAGGGAGCAATGGGAAGGGAAATCTTATATTAGGAAAAAGAACAAGCAAAAGCACAGAAAAGCAGGAAAGTAGAGGTACTTTGAGAATAATGAGTAGTACAATATGACTGGACTACAGACTATCAATATATTTCGGCAGGAAGAGTGATAAAAATTTGTCCAAATGATACATTACTTCAATTATTATCACTTTGACCATTATTCCTAAATCTCTCTATCCAGATCTCTTGCTAAAACTTCAGAATGTTAAAATTCAAATGTCCATCAGATATTTCCACTTGGAAATACATTTCAAAGATACATTTCAAAGATAACATGTATAAAAAGAACCCATCATTTTCATTGATCATGCACATCCCTCTCCTCTACCTGCTGCTAAGTTTCTTAATTTACTATCTTACTGAATAAGTAAATTACCTAAAACTTCCTAATCCTCAGATGACCTATCCTTTAAATCAGGTAATACTTTGTAGGTTACACGTGGGCTGCGCAAAATAATACCTATGAACTAAACAGCCCATCTCTTGATTCATGATACTTTATGAAATATAACTATTATTTATAGTATTATTAATAGTATTATATTCTTATTAATACTATGAAAAGTCTGAGAAAAATACTATGAAAATCCAAGCCTCAATTTCTTCATTTGTAAAATGAAAATAATAACTATTTTCAAAAGATTAAGAACTAAAGAGGAAGAACTCATCAACATCCTAGGGAAAAGTTGTTTTAATCCCAACGACAAATACTGGTCATTTGGCTAGAAATATTCCTGGAGTTGGAAAGAATGTATCTATAATCATTATTGGGGAATGCCCTTTGGAATATCCAACCCCATCTGTTCTAATCTATGCATTAAAAAGTGTTACAATTGTACTGGAGGATTTATCACTAGAGGGTTGAAGCCTGAATCAATGACTAAAGTCTATTAAGTTTCTGGTTATATCACTCATCATAAATTAAAAAGGTGAAATTCCAGTTTTCAAACAAGCCTATTCTAAGTTTGATTAATAATCTTCACATAGATGGAGATCTCCTCTATATGAAACGATAAAATTTCTGAACTTACAAATTTACTAGATCATCACTCTATGGGAATATTATTAATTCATAAGTCCTGCACAGAAGGTAAAGCCAATCTGTTAAATATTAATTTCCTTATGTTTTAATCTTATAAAGACAAAAATCAAATAGATCAGTGTTTCTCCAAGTTGCAGAAATATAAAGAATTGTTAAAAATAATCACATTCTTGATAACCATTCTAGATCTCAAGACTCATAATTTCAAAAAAAGGAGCCTAAAAGAATACAGATTTAATAAGCATCCTAAGTGATTGCTATAATCAGGCAACTCTGGAAAAATGTGGAAATAGATTAACCATACTGCCAACATCAAAATATAAGGATTATCATCATGATTATAAAGCCAAACTTATAAAGCTTATTGATACTAGAAAACCATGAGTCATAAAGAACATTATCAAGAACAGCAATTTTCCTGATCTTTTTTCCACTTTCAATAATCTTAAAAACACCTCTACTTTTTCTTCCATTTTTTTTGACTCTAGTCAACTTGACCAATTGCTCCAATCGACTGTATCACACATGAAATCATAAGTTAAGCTTTAAAATCTCAAATTGCTCGATGATGTATAAACTACAAAGAAATTAATGTGAAAGCTCTTTTCCCAGTCACTATTACCTGTAGGCCAAACAGGTACATCTGATAAATCTGGCCTTCAGTCAACTATAGCTGTGAATTGATGGATCACCATTTCTACATGGAAAGCCATTGATCAGGCTGTAGGTATTCCCCCAGAAAGCACTAATGTAAAGGTAGTTCAACCGTGGTGAAAGAGCAATCTGGAAATGAGTACATGTGTCTGTCTGTGTATCTGATGTGTACGTTCTATTTATTTTTTAAAGATTTTATTTTTAAGTAATCTCTGCAATCTCTACATGGGGCTCAAATTTATAACCCCGAGATCAACAGTCACATGCTCTACCAACTGAGCCAGCCAGGCACCCCATGTACATTCATTCCAAAGAAAACTCATCATTGGTTTGACACAATATGCAGAATACTATAAAATGATGAAGAGGCACTAATCACATTAAAATCTATGTGAGTATTTTACATGAATAGGTGCACAGTTAAAAAGTAGTGCAGAAATCCTGCCTTTAGGAAATGATGTATAGAATTCAAAAATGCAAAAATAAACAGGCAATTTTTTTTAAAGATCTATTTTTTGAGAGGCACTTGGGTGGCTCAGTTGGTTAAGTGTCTGACTTTGGTTCAGGTCATGATCTCAGAGTCCTGGGACAGAGCAGGGAGTCTGCTTGTCCCTCTGCCCCACTGACTGCTTGTGTAACACTCACATGCATGTGCTCTCAAATAAATAAATAAAATCTTTAAAAAAAAAAACAAACCTATTTTTTTTAAGATCTTTGCAAGAAGGCTTTGTGAAATGGCCTCCATGCTTCTACTGATTTTTATCTATCAAAATTCAATTTGTACAAAATGTGAGCATTCTATATTTAATATAATATAGGCCTTCTGGGCCAAAAGGCCTATATTTTTAAAGGCATCAACTTAACTCTTAAGAGTGATAAAAGTTCCACTAATGCACAGAATAAATGAAAGGCAAAGAAACTATTCAGACTAAGAGATTATCTGATTTATAGAATGCTTTTGGTTGATCATTACTATTTAACATCAAGGAAAGCAAAATGAATAAAAAAGGCTAAAAACCAATTCTGCTACTTTGGCAACATAATACCACAACTGGAAAATGTCTGATGGGAAAAGGTGTCTCAAATAGAGGCTGCCTGAGGTTAGGAAATTTTATGTTCCATTACTACAGATAACAGAGCTGACTACAGAAAAGAACTCTCTTCACTATGAGTCATGTAAATTAATGAAAATAACTTACCTTTGTCCCGAAGCAGTTGCAATTGGTGATGGGCCATTAGGACTTCGTGGTTCTTCACATGTACTCATTTCCATTATTACTTTATCCAGGGACTAATAAAAATACATTAAAAATGTAAAAAATTAGATATTTTATGTATATTATACAAATATTATGTAACACTATTTTCTCTTTCATTTCTTTAGGAACAAAGTAAACAATAAGTGAGCAGAGTCACTTTTAAAATGTCTCTATAAAAGTCTAGAAAGACAAATACCAAAACAGAAAACAACATACTCAGTCCTTTCTCAAGGCACTTATTATCTGTTAAGAAAGCTGTGGGCATATAGGAGTATAAGACAAACTACAAGTTGCCAAATGCTGCTGAAATCATCAGATTTTATAGAAGTGCAATCTCTAATCCAAGAATGTATGACATTATTAATTGCTAAATGAGATTATGTATTAATAAATGGGATTTAAGGAGCTAAAAGCTTATCCCAGTCTAAGACTTGAGATTTAAGACATTTAACAATGAAAAATATGAAATATGCAAGAAATGTGAAAAATAAACATTATCATAATAAAAAATTTCTTTCAAGGTAACAGTTTTGCTTAAAGATCAAATATCCTTAGTAGTCATCACTAGTGTAACTCACTCATTCTTCATTTTCTATTTTGATATAGCATTTACTATCTGAAATTGTCTTATTTATTTGTTTCTTGTTGGTCTTCTCAATAAGAATATTAAGTTCCCTTAGGGCACAGGGAAGGTGCTCAATAAATATCTGTGGAATGAATGAATCAATAAATGACCAAATGACCAATCTTTCCTCAATTTTCCTTAAAGAAAGGAAAGTATATTGGGGTGTCAAGGTGGCTCAGTCAGTTACGCATGTGCCTTCAGCTCAGGTCATGATCCCAGAGTCCTGGGATCAAGCCCCGTGTAGGGCTCCCTGCTCAGCAATGAGCCTACTTATCCCTCTCCTTCTGCCTCTCCCAACTTGGGTACATGCTCTCTCTCTTAAATACATAATAAAATCTTAAAGAAAAAAAGAAAGTATATTCAGGTGTATATTATTTAATTTAGCAGATCAATAAAATCAGAAACACAGCAAATTTGAATTAAATGTTACTAAGACTGTCATAATACGTCAATGAAGAGCTAAATGACAGAATAAAAATATACCAACTTAGAACATAATACATCTGAAAAATTATAAAGACCTTCCCATCTTAAAGGTCACACTTCTCATTTAAGGACTCCAAATAAAATGAAAGTCAATTTGTAGAAAAGCCAGAAGACTGTGTTTCTATGAAACAAAAGGTTAATATTAGCAGAGTAGTTAGATCAAATGCATACAAAAATGTTTATTTCTGAAGCAAGTCAGAACTCACCAAACAGATGGGATGTGTTTTCAATTTTGTCCATGGTATCTACCAAAAAAAGACAAATTTTTTTTCTTTAAAATCAATCATCAAAAAATAATGTAAAACTAGCAATCAATATAGATGCTCTCTAAATATAGTGACAGACATACCAAATTTTATCAGATGACTTTTTCTCAAATTGCAAAGTAATAAACAGAGCAACTCATGCAGACTCTTAAAATTGGATGTACCTATTTTGTATAAGACTAATCAAAATTTCTGTCATCTTTTAAAATAAGAATTTTAGGTCCTCATAAGCTTTCCCCCAGACCTTAAAAAACATTTTAACTTCGTGATTAATTTAATTTTAAGTAGGCTCCATGCCCAACATGGGGCTTGAAGTCACAACCCTGAGATTAGAGTCGCGTGCTATTCTGACTAAGCCAGCCAGGTGCCTCTTAATTTTGTAATTTAAACTAAGATTTCCCAGCAGAGTATAATCAGTTTTTCATTCATTGAACAGTTTTTTTAATTCTAAAATTCTGACCGTGGAGCGCCTGGCTGGCTTAGCTGGAAGAATGTGTGACTCTTGGCAACCTTGAGGTCATGTGTTAAAGCCCCATGTTGGATGTGGAGATTATTTAAAATCTTTAAAAAAGTTTAAAAATAAAATTTTGACCAATCTTTTTGTAGATATTCAAGAAACATACAAAGGTGAGGCCACGCATATAAAATGTAGGCAATTTCAAATAACGTTCAAACATACACTTAAAAGTCACATTTTAATAGGTGTTTGAGTTTATGGAAGATAAAGGTGACCATCAAATGATACAAGGAACCTTTCCAAAATCTTTCTTGCAGTCCAATTTTAATTTTAATTTTATGAAACATTACTCATGCGGTATTTTTTTTTAAGACTTTATGTATTCATGAGAGACATAGAAAGAAAGGGAGAGACATAGGCAGAGGAAAAGCGGGATCTCCAAGGGGAGCCCGATGTGGGACTCGATCCCAGGACTCTGGGATCCAGCCCTGAGCCAAAGGCAGACAGATGCTCAACCACTGAGCCACCCAGGTGTCCTTCATGTGGTATTTCTATTCTAAGTACTTCCTTTTAAAAACTGGTCTTTAAGAGTAAGAAGTGATATAATATATGATTAGCGTCAAAGGTAAGCAGGAATAAATTTTAATAAGGAGAAATAATAAAAGAAAATTTTAAAATCTTCAAGAAGAAACAAATGAATAAAAGAAATAAAATTTCAAGTAAAAGTAGAATGTACAGAATAAAATTAAGGATTTATGGCTTCATGTCTTTATTTGAAATAATGTTTACTTAGTACAAATTTAAATTGTCCCTATTAACAATAAATCCTATAAAAAATATTTGGGTATGTGCCAAATTTAACCAATTATTTTATTAATAACTACCAATAATTTTATTTAAATGTTAAGATTAAATTTTAAATAAAACTTAAACTACAAATTAATCTTAATATATGACTTCAATTAAATTCATCTGGCACACATTCATGCAATTATTTAGACATAGGTGTTTGTCTTTTTAAATTATATTAATGAAAATGTTTTTTTATAGATATAAACAAAATATTAAAGAGATAGGAATTAAATTTAAAAATGAGAACAGAGGGAGGCTGGGTGGCTCAGTGGTTGAGTCTGCTTTCAGCTCAGGGCATGATCCCTGGTCAGGGATCGAGTCCCACATCAGGCTCCCCTCATGGAGGCTGCTTCTCCTTCTGCCTGTGTCTCTCATGAATAAATAAATATAATCTTTAAAAAAAGAGAGAACAGAAATGCTTTCCACAGATATCAAAGTCTCACCCTAATAGATGCTTTATTACAAAAAACTTTGTTGATAGCAAGCCATGTTGGCAAATCCAACATATTCTGGAGCACCTCTTCATCCAACTCCAAATTCTTCAGTTCACCTTCTCCTTTGAGAGTACTTAGATTTATCTTGTCAGGAGATAAATTTTTAGTAAATCTGAAAGAGAATATATATTGACATTCATTTTAGCGTCAGTTTCTGTACCCCAGTCATTCTTGCAAATGTACAGAGCGTTAAAAATGTAACAGCAGCACAACGAAACAGAAAATCTCAGTTGACAGTCTCTAAGTTTTTCAGTAAGGTTTTGTTATCACTTTGAACTCTCTTATTTCATTGCTCTCTTATACAAAGCCTACAGTGTTTTTAGCATACATGTGAATATCATATTTCCATATACATCAAATGTTCTTACTGCCTTTCAAATTTATGAATAATAAGTAGCATCCACTTTTTCCAGGTACTATGCAAGGCAGTGGAACTAACTCAAAACCATTCCGTAATCACATTTTGTTTACTTTGCTACAGACCATAAGAATATTTCTATTTTACTAACCAACCTTAACAGGAAGGTTAAGGGAATAAGGGGATCCTCTAGAAGTAGCAATAGCAAGTACTACCCATTCATTATCTCAAGAACAATATCAAAGGATATTAATACTCCTTTTAGAATCATCCAGAGATTCCTAGCTTCAGAAATTGACCCACATTATTCAGGAATAAATTAGAGTACACAAATCTTTTTCTAAAAGGTCTCTGAGGTAGCAGATTATGCAACTCTACTTGGCAGTCAATTTTGGTGTTTTCTAACATGAGACTTAAAAATACCAATTATTTACAATCCAGATTGGCTGTACAAATACCATCTATCCTTTCTGTAGGAGTTAAAATAAATGAAGTATAAAGTGCTTAGTTAAAGTGCCAAAAGTCATATAGGAGACTGGACGCTAAAAGCTATTTAATTAAGAATACAGATTCTCTGCGATGAAATAAAAATGAAAATTCTTAAACTTAAGAAAAAAGAATGGAAATGACAATAATAGTTAAAACAATACTGGACATTTTCCAAGGGTTTATTGCATACGAGGTTCTTTGCATGCAAACATTACTACTTCATCTAATTCCTATGATAAAACATTAGGGTCAATACTACTTTTATTCTCACTGTTTAGATAAGCACCAGCAGCCAAATGAAGTTCAATCCCTTTGTGACTTCTGATTGGAGCAAGAATCGTAAAAGATATTTAAATGCACCTTCCTACATTCACAGGAAGATTATATCTTCTCTTTCCAAAGAGCTGAGACAGAAGTACAATGTTCGATCCATGCCCATCCAAAAGGATGAAGTTCAGGGTGTACAAGAACACTACAAAGGTCAGCAGATTGGCAAAGCAGTCCAGGTTTACAGGAAGAAATACGTCATCTCCACTGAACAAGTACAGCAAAAGAAGGCAAATGGCACAAGTGTCCACGCGGCCATTTACTTTAGCAAGGTGGTTATGACTAGACCAAAAATGGGCAAAGACTGTAAAAAGATCCTTGAACATAAAGCCAAATGTCACCAAGTAGGAAAGGAAAGGGCAAATATATAAGGAAGAAACAATTGAGAAGATGCAGGAACAAAGTAATATTTCATATGACTTTAAAGAAAAACCCTAAAAAAGTGAAAATCCACTAACTTTGCCCAGGAGGTTTTTTTTTTTTTTTTCAAAAATTAAACTACTGACAAGATTAACTACCAGCTAACAAGATTTATCAGCCAGTCTTTTACCTTTTTTGAAACTAAATATTAAAGTAACAAAATAAAAAAAAATAAAAAAATAAAGTAACAAAATGTTCTGATTATTTACACGCTCTACACATCAACGAGAGTATCACCAATATACACATGCTTCATTTCATGATTCCCATTGACTCTACACCAGAATTTCATGAGGCACATTTTATTGGGATTCATATCATCTCACAGAATGTGAAATGAGAAATACAGAATTCACATGTAACCCATGTTTGACCAGTGATGCTAGGTTGTGTTAACTTACCCATCAATCATATTTGGTTTAAAACTATGACATTTCCTGATAGGCTCTCATTCCTAATCACATAGGAATGGCCTGCCAGTACCTCAAGGCAGACCATCACAGCTGGAAGGGAGCACTCAGTAAGTACTTACTGAGAATTCACTATTTGGACACATGTACACTCAAGGAGTGTACACTCAAGCAGTACACTCAAGGAGTCCCCGCCTTTATGCAGTTCTAGTTCAGGTGGTAGACTGAACACCAAAAAGCATGACTCAGAGAGAATACAGTACAGGGTTTTAATCTACAGCTTCTCTGAAAACAGGGATTTTTGAGATTATATCTGAGAATGAGTGGTAGAAGTTAACTAGGCAAGGAAAAGAAGGGAGACAGGAAGAAAGTATTCCAAGTAGTAGGAATAAAACACAAAGAAATGTTTTCAGGCTGGAGACAGCATGGCATAAAATACAAGAGGGCCATGAGAGTAGAAGATAAATCAGAAAGGACAAAGAAGGGACTGACTCTACAAGGCCTTGATCATTTCATTAAATCATTCATTCAGTAAATCTTAAATGATACCTATAAATTAACAGACAATGGGGATATGACAATAAAGAAAACATAAAAACCTCTGCCTTCATGGGGCCTAAGGGGACACGGTTCTGCAGAGAATGAAAAAATAAGCCAGATATATTATGTCAGATTCTGACTATGGAGGGGAAAAATCAAAATAGTAAGATAGCAGGTGCAAGCAGAGGACCTTTTAATTTTTAAAAGGATAGACAGAAAAACAAACCTTCAGTGAAAAGATAACATTTGGGCAAAGATCTGAAGTAAAGTAGCTATACAAATATCTAGAGGAAGAATGCTCTAGGCCAAGGAAAAGCAAGGGTAAAAATTTGAGGTGGGAACATGCTTGGCATATCTGAGAAACAGCATGGTCAATCTGACTGGAGGAAGTGCAAAGAATGCACGAGTAGGAGGAAAGGAGATAAGTTAGAGAAGTAACAGGGGCCAGATCATGTGAGACCTTTAAAGCCACTCTAAAGACTCTGGCTTTTACTCTTAGTAAAAATGAAACTAATTGGAGATAGTTTTGACTAGAATAGGAAACTTTTTTTTTAAAGATTTATTCATTTTTTATTTGAGAGACAGAGAGCATGAGTGCCTGCCTGTACCAGCACAGCAAGAAGGGGCAGAGGAAGGAGAGAGAATCTCAAGCAAACTCTATGCTGAATGTAGAGCCCAATGCAGGGCTCGATCCCAAAACCTCAAAAGAGTCAGACGCTCAACAGACTGAGCCATCCAGGCACCCCTGGAAACTTTAATTTTCCAAGTTTTACTCTATTGAGAATATATGAAAGGGAGGATGTGGAAAGAAGCAGGCGGCCCAGTAGGAAGTTACTGCGACAATCCAAGTGAGAGAAGACATTGCCCTGGATCAAGATAGAAGAGTAAAAAGTGTAATGGTAGAAAGGGAATAGTCTAGATATATTCTGAAGGTAAAGCCAACAGGATTTGATTATACAGAATGAAGTCAAGGATGACTTCAAGGTTTTTAGTCTGGGTAAATGGAAGGACAGAGTTACCATTATTCAGGGTAAAGAAACAGAGGGAGAAATAAGTTTGGGGTTAGGACTAGAATTTGGGCTTTGAAAAGTTTAATTAAGTGATGCCCATTAGATATTCAGGACATGCCAATTAGGTAGATATTCAAATCTTATTTGGTGGGTGTGGATACAAATTTGGTAATCACCAATGTTATAGATGGTATTTGCAGTTGCAAGATGGAGACAAAAAATCAGATAGCTCAAGGACTGTGGTTAGAGGCCCCTAAGGGGCTAAGAACTGTGAAAGAAACCAATAAAGGAGATTAGAAAAGAAGAACCAGTAAGGCAGGAGAAAAACTAGGTTGCTTTCAGGTTTTGTTTTCTTTATTAAGGTAAGAGAAAACAAGCTGGTATGCTAGTGACAATGATGCAGAAAAAAAGAAAACTACTGATGGTACAGTAAGGACAGACAACTGCTAGAGCAAAATCCGTGATTAGAAGACGGCAAATGCAATATGGGTGAAGAGGGGTTGGCCCTGAATAGTTCTGATGTTGGAAAGCCTGTTAATACTCTATGTGTGTAAAAAATAAAATGAGAAAGTGTAAGAGGGGAAGCACCTAAAACTGAAAGCAAATTGAAACAAATGAACCTAATTATACTCAAAAATACTATAAGCATACTTAAGGGGAAGATAAGAAGAGAGAAACAGGGACAGATGGACAGAGACTAATCTGAGTAACCAACATCTTACTATACCTATCCTTAGTGTTGGGCAAGAAGGGTGTGGGTGTGGGTGTGCATGTAGGAGGGGTTAGTGAAGAAACCAAGCAACAACTTGCCTAGGTATATACAAGAATGTACATCTCAATGATATTTACAGAGGGGAAAAAGTGAGAGCACTTAAATATCCAAAGAGAAATAATAAGAAAATGCTTATATTATGGTGAAAATTCAAGGTTTAAAATTACATTACTGTGATTTCAATTATGTAAAAAAAATGTTATAAAATGTCAAATATCAAAAGTACACATGGTTGGTAAGATTCTAGATTTCTTCTTCTTTATACTTTCCCTTACGTTTAAATGTTCTAATAAAGAACATATATCACTTTTATAGAGACAAAAGTTCATCAGAAACCCAAAAAGACAGGTGTAGCAAGAGTAAAAGATGGAAAAACTAAGACACATGTCACTGGGGCGCCTGCGTGGCTCAGTTAAGCATCTGCCTTTGGCTCAGGCCATGATCCCAGAGTCCTGGGATAGAGCCTAAACTTGGGTTCCCCGCTCAGCGGGGAGCCTGCTTCTCCCTCTCCCCCACTTGCATTCTCTCTCTTGCTCTCTCTTCCTCAAGCAAATAAGTAAATAAAATCTTTTTATATAAATAAATAAAATACAAAAATAAATAAATAAATAAAATACCTGTCATTAACAAAAAATTCTACCTTCAATTTAGTTCATTTTACAAAAGGGACACAACATCTGCAAAGAGCATGGGCCTTAAAGTCAGGGAAATCTTAATTCTTGTTTAACCACTTACTGTGGTTCCTCTGTGCCTCAATTTGCTCATCTATAAAAGGGGGAAAACAATACCAACCTCAAACGATTTTAGTGAGGATTAAAGGTAATATCTAAAACATCTGGTACAAAACATATCCAAATAAGAATTCTCTTCTTCCTTCCCTCTTTCAATTTAGATTAAATTATGGATACTGATTACAGTTTTAACTGAAGCAATATCAAAAGTTCATGCTTGGGACAGCCGGGTGGCTCAGCGGTTGAGTGTCTGCCTTTGGGTCAGGGTGTGGCCGATTCCAGGGATCAAGTCCCACACTGGGCTCCCTGCAGGGAGCCTACTTCTCCCTCTGCCTGTGTCTCTGCCTCTGTGTGTCTCTCATGAATAAATAAAAATCTGGAAAAAATTTTTTAAAAAGCTCACACTTATCCAAATAGGACTTTAAAATGGTCAAGTAATGGAGCTAATGTGGAAAACATATGAATACTGCTCATCTAGTAAACTATTTTAAATCGAAATCAGAAGATATATTGGTAACTTACATTCATTAAAAAGTTAGTCCCTACATCAGGTAAGTAATATCAAATTATTTATCTTCCATTATTCATATGTTAGACTTTAATTTACATATACTCTAGTTTTGTACAAACATGTTCCAGTCAGTTATTAATATAATTATGTTTCTTCCAAAAACAGAAACTGGAGAATGATTTTCAGCCAATTCGTCATAATTTAATAAATAAAAGATAAGCAGACTTTCATTAACTATATACTAGGCAAACAAAGGGAGGGAAGCTCACAAAATAGCATTAAGGCTTGGAAAAGGTACTTTTTTTACCTGTACTTTTTCCAAGTGTTGCTACAGCTCTTTGAACTAAACTGCCATCTGAAATCCTCAGATAATTATATTATGCTGCTGAATATTATAACTGAGAAGGACCTGATCCTAAAGAGAATTGTTATCTGAAATAATACCACTTCCAATCCACTAATGAACCCTTCAAGCTCTAAAGAGTTATATAAATATTTTAAAACCAAACTTTTAAAAATAGGGCAGAAATTTAAGTCAATGAATTAAACTCTGGATAATTATTTATTTACTGAAGATAAAGGGAGGGGAGATAAAGGGAGAAATGAAACATAGCCTACATATAAAACCAAAGTTGCTGTTAATAAAGACTCAAAATGAGGATACAGGAGAAAGTTCATTGACCTGAACATACCAAAGTCACAACAGCACAGAAGAAAGTCACATGATATAGTAAAAAGGGCACAACTCTTACCAGTATTTTTTATTTTCAAAATTTAGAAACACAGTTTCATTACTACATACACTATGGCAGGCAAAGAGGTTTATTTTAAAACAAACATGTATCCTTCACTCTAACATTAGTATCTTATTGAATAAATTTTAAAGTGAATGTATATATTTTATTGGTTGATGCAATTGAAAGCATCACTAAAAATGATAAAATTTTAACAATGTAACAATTTGAAAACATACTTAA